ATCTTATGATAAGAGGATCCTACTATTTTGGGGGTTTAAGTCAGGGGTCCCCTTAGTCTCGCAACCCCCACATCTAAGCCTGGAGCTCCACCACATCATGCTCGTTGACCTGGGCATTTCCACCTTCTCGACTACATCGCGTGTTCACTCCGTAGGTCTATGTGGTCAGTTCTCTAAAACCGTAGGCCCTAAACCCTAAACCCTAATACCCTAAATAAGAGGGGCCGGCTTAGAATAAGGACCCTAAAAGGGGGCCATATTTTTAGAGAAGTGACCATGTAAGGTATCCAAGGCAGCGCGTATCCCAGCTGGCGTTTCCGCATGTGAAGTCTCCACCGGGTTCCCAAGGGTTCTTGTGCCTTGGGTTTAGGGTTTAGGGTTTAGGGAGACACGAAAACATTCCAAACATCGCAGACCAGTTGCAGCAGCTGGCAGGAAGACGTGCCAACGTTTGCAGCGCAACCCAATTCGCCTGAATCGATGACACAGGCGGTCCCAAGTGACACTGGACATCATTGCAAAGACTTCCGGCCGCGATGATGTCAGCAACGCAAGACCTGCGCCTTTGCGGGCCGGAACCCTAAACCCTAAACCCTAAACCCTAAACTGGGTGCTTGAAAGGTCCCAAGTGGGGCCGAGGCCCAGACCGGCCCAGACCACAAAGGCTCCAAGCCGTTAAAGCTTCCTGAGCCCTTCATTTTAAGCCTTACTTAGAGGTCTGGGGTGTAGGGTTTAGGGTTTAGGGTTTAGGGTTTAGGGTTTAGGGTTTAGGGTTTAGGGTTTAGGGTTTAGGGTTTAGGGTTATAAGTACCCTAAAGATGGTTTCTACCAGAAGTACCTTACTTATCACCCTACTCATAAGTACCCCATGAACCAAGGATTCAGAAGGTGGCCAAGACCACGAAGAAGAAGCAGCAACACCGCAGCGGGGCCTCTGGTGACGAAGGCTCTGATCCTTGGGGACGAAACCCTAAAAGGGTTTATGGTTCATATACCTTAATAGGAATTATAGAGCCCTAAAAGGGTTTATGGTTCATATACCTTAAGAGGAATTATAGTAGTATAGGGTATATGACCCCCAATTTTAGGGTTCATTTCGTCCCCAAGGATGGCACCAGCTCTGGGGCACGTTGCGGGTTGTCAGGGTCGAGGACTTCAGGGTGGTTCAGGTTTCCGGGTTCGGAGGTCAGGATTTCGGACCTTGAGGTTGAGGTTGCTTTTTTTCTTTTTTTTTTTTGGCTGTAGCTTGGCTTGCGTGGGTTGCAGAAAGTGCCCATAAGCTAAGTATCTTCGGGTGCGTGAGACCGTCCTTCTGTGGTTGTAGAAGGTCTCCTCTTGCCTGCTTACCCAGCTGGGTACTATTTTTGGACATGTCTAACTGCTGCACCTGAATACTATTCTTTAGACATGTGTAAAACGATCCCTTTTGCATTGCGCTGAACCCCGAACATTGAACCCTAAACCCTAATGAGTGGAGTCTGACAGTCTAACACCCCTGGTGAGGTTCTTCTGATCCGTCGTCCTCGTCGATTGCCTCCTCCAGACACAGCTGATTCCAGACATTGCTTGCGCCATGAACAATAGGTATCTTGCCGCCAGTTCCTAATCCCCTAAACCCTAAACCCTAAACCCACATCTGATGACTGATCGTCCAAGATGCACTGGGCTGCACGGAAAAACGCGGTATTTAGATTGTTGCCGTCTTGAGACGGCTGAGGAGAGCGAAGCAGCCTCCTGCTTTTCAATGACCTTCAGCACCAGCTCGGGGCAAGTCATGTGATCATGACATGCACTGAGCAGGGCTCACATGGGAGATGGTCGTGCCAGCGCCGCGCCCCAAACCTCACTGGTTCTTCAGTAAGGGAGCTGGGAGATTTTGGTTGTAAAATTCCCCTGCAGGGTTGTGTAGGAGATACCTGGTACCTGCTGAGATCGGTAAACGCTACGGCGGCAAGCGGCACGCCCGCTGAAGAGCAATCAACAATCCTCTCCTGGTATTCACCCGCCCCCTACCCCGAATATGAAATACTCCCATTATTGTTATGTTAAAGTATATGGAGGGATATTCAATGCTCGGGGCTGGGGCGGTTCCATGTTAGGGGGAGGGGATTAGGTACTACAGGAGCGCGCCGCTCAGAAGACGGAATGTGTCGAAGCATTCCTTTCAAGGCAACCTCAACCAATTTGCATGTTGAGTTCACCGATGGGTTCGGCACATGTTACCCTATGCCCTAAACCCTGAGCCCTAAGCCCTAAACTACAAACCCTAAACTCTAAACCCTTAACCCTAAACCCTAAAACCAAGCTGGGCTCAGCCCACTCCTGGAACACCATCTCTCTGGTTCCGCCATGGTTGCGACAGGTTTTGTGGAATTCCCGCTCTGCCGCCCAAGGCGGCAAAACGAGGGTCCAGAATTACGGCTGAAACATCCTCAGACCTTCATCTTCGGTTCCTTGCAAAATCTTGACACGAATGACAACTTCAGGAATCCGGGAGAGTGGTTAGCTTCTATCAGCCTTCGAAGAAAACTTGGCACAGGCCTTGGCGGGCAATCGACACTTTCAATAGATGTACAAGAAGTAAAATCAAACGATGCTGTCTGCTGTCTGGTGGAGAAGTTCCACTCATTGTTCTAGACCCTCTCAGAGTCTCAGGACCCTAAACCCTAAACCCTAAACCCTAAACCCTAAACCCTAAACCCTAAACCCTAAACCCTAAACCCTAAACCCTAAACCCAGAGGTGCACGCCGTCATTCAAGCCTTTGCTGTCGCGTCCTCGCAGCATCCTCAAGCATGTAACGATGCGAAGCTCCCCTTGGGGCTGCAAATTTAGGGTTTAGGGGTTAGGGTTTAGGGTTTAGGGTTTAGGGTTTAGGGTTTAGGGTTTAGGGGTCTAGGGTTGCTGCCCCTAGTCGAAGGTCGTTTGCCATGTCTCAAGGCTCTGTGGAGTTATTGCTTTACTTACATCCGAGGAGTCTTCACCTGTGCTCTTGAAACCCTAAAACCTAAACCCTAAACCCTAAACCCTAGACCCTAGACCCTAAACCCTAAGAGTCGTGTTCTGGAGGATGGGAAGTAGCAGCAGCATGCTTGAGGCGTGCAAACCTAAAACCCAAGTGTTTGTGCTGACCAGGCGTTCAAAAGGCCACGTGCCTGCAAAGGCTCATGGAACATAGGACTAAGAGCGGCTTCCTTGGTTTCATGTCGTTGTCGACAGCTTTCGGCGCAACGTCGTGCTCTTTTCTCCTACCCAACCCCCCAACTCCCAATTACGGCACTAAACCCTAGACCCTAAACCCTAAACCCTAAACCCTAAACCCTAAACCCTAAATCCTAAATCCTAAATCCTAAACCCTAAACCCTAAACCCTAAACTGAACCCTAAACCTCTGGAGCCTTGCCTTGTCCTTGCACTGTTCACCAATGCGAGAGCCTGTCCCAGCTCCGGCATGTTGGGGGGTTTTCCTAAAGTAAGGGTGGGTTTAGGGTTTAGGTTCCAGGGTTTAGGGTTTAGGGTTTAGGGTTTAGGTTCTAGGGTTTAGGTTCCAGGGTTTAGGGTTTCAGGGTTTAGGGTTTTAGGGTTTCAGGGTGTAGGGCTTGGGGTTTGGGGTTTCAGGATTAAGGGATACCTTATTGGGTCCTGATTATAAGGGAATCCTACTATTTGGGGTCGATATTGGGGGGCCCTTATTTTCGTAAACCCCATATAGCCCCACCGTGATGAAGGCCCCAAACACTGAACCCCGCGGAAAACCCCGGAAGCCCTAAAGTCATAACCCCCTCGGCCCCCTAAACCCCTAGTATGGGAGCCTCAATAGTTAGAATAGGGTTTTGGAAGGGGGTGATTAGAATAGTATACTTATATAGGGATACTATGAGTACGTAATTATTCATTATTCCTCTAAACCCTAAACCCTAAACCCTAAACCCTAAACCCTAAACCCTAAATATGTTCGACCCGCCGATAGCCCCGAGCATGAGCAGTTGCCTCTCGCAGATGAACGAGGCTCACAGCTTAGGGTTCTGAGCCTTGTTGCGGGTGACTCCAACCAGGCCGGGGGTAGGGTTTAGGGTTTAGGGTTTAGGGTTTAGGGTTTAGGGTTTAGGGTTTGGGGTTTGGGGTTTAGGGTTTAGGGTTTAGGGCTTAGGGTGCCTACTTCTTGGTAGCCCAGTGGTACCCTGTACCTTTGTTTTTTGGGTTCTGGGTTCCCTTATAAAGTTTTAGGGTTTAGGGTTTAGGGTTTAGGGTTTAGGATTTAGGGTTTAGGGTTTAGGGTTTGGGGTTTAGGGTGCCCTTATATTATACTATGGTTGCTGGGCTACTAAGACTTCGGGGGCCACCCAGAACGCTCAACTAATTAAAACCTCGGCCCCCAAGAAATCGAGGGGCCGAAGGTTTCAGGGCTTGGGGCACCCTAAACCCTAAACCCTAAACCCTAAACCCTAAACCCTAAACCCTAAACCCTAAACCCTAAACCCTAAACCCTAAACCCTAAACCCTAAACCCTAAACCCTAAAAACCCTAAACCCTAAACCGGGGAAGTTGGGTACGTGGAGCATACCCTAAACCCCTCGAATCCCCTCAAGACCACCTTGAACCGGAAGACGCTTAGACCATGTCAGAACCCTTGGAGCCCTCAAGCCCCCAAGCCCCTGCAACCTCACCCCTGTAGAGCCCTTATCCTATATCCCCCTTGGGAATTATTTTTCGTTTTTGTTCATATATAATAAAACAAGAGTATAGTAAGAATATTGATTTTGTTAAGGTTCCAAGGGGAGTATAGAAACCCTGGAAAGACCCCTCGACCTTGACACCCTCAGCTCCCTAAAGCCTCAACCCTTGAGACGAAACCCTGGCAGATCGAAAAGGGGAACCGGAAAGCAGACAAAGAAGAATCGAACCCCTAAACGGTTTAGGGTTTAGGGTTTGGGGTTTAGGGTTTAGGGTAACAGTGCCGCCCCAACACCTACTCCTAGGGTCCTTGGGTCCTTTGGACGCGATGTCCGACGACCATGAGGCAAGGGGGTTTGTGGGGTTCTGAATTACTGGTTTCAGGGTTTCGCAGCACCCCTTTGTACATGTGGCTGTGGACAACTGCGGCGGTTCTAAGTCAGGGTCCCTTGTTGGGATGTGTTTTTCTTGTGATTCTATCATAATGTAGCTGCCCAACAGCGGGTCAACGGCCTGCCTCCTACACTCAACCGTTTTCAGGACCGGAGGTGGGCAGGTGGGTGGGTTTGTGGTGAGGGTGCAGACTTCAAAGCTGGATTTTCGATCATGGACGCCTTTGGCTTAGAAGCCGTTTACCCTTCTCTGGTAGCAGCACAGGTGAACCCGAAGCCCTAAGCCCTAACTTGCAACCCTAAATCCTAAACCCTAAACCCTAAACCCTAAACCCTGAACCCTAAACCCTAAACCCTAAACCCTAAACCCTAAACCCTAAACCCCAAGCCCTACAACCCTGAACCCCTACAACCCTGAACCCCTACAGTCGGCACCCGACGGCTCGCAGGGCCCGACCGAAATTGTCAGCGAGGTGCCGGATTTTGGGAGCCATCGCGCGTTGGTGTAGGGTTTAGGGTTCAGGGTTTAGGGTTTCGGGTTTAGGGTTTAGGGTTTAGGGGTGGTGGTTGCTTTGGGGGGCTGAGGGTTTAGGAGGTTTAGGAGATAAGGCTTCAGGGTTCAGACTTGGTTAAGACGGTTGAGGGTGTAAAGGGTTTTGGGGTTTGAGGGTTTCTGGATAGGTTCGGCGGGGGCCATCGCTGGCTTTGTTTGCCACCAGAGTTGAGATAGAGCCGGTGCGCAGGAAACACCTACCCCCCCCCCCCCCGCCCCCTGCTCAACGAGTCTTGCTCACGTGCGCATGCTCCCAGTTTACCTCCAACAGACTTCAACTCTCACCGTCAGGGCTCAGGACTACAGCACTAAGTTCTCAAAATGCACCTTTGCCCTGCACTCTTGGCGGCTGCGGCTACGCACGGCTTTTCATCATTTAAGTTGTGCAGTCGGAGTCTTAGCGCATGGACAGCGGTTTAAGCAAACTTAAGCCACGTCGCGAAGCAAAGTTTCCCAATAACAAGCCCTAAACACTACTATATCCCCCTTGGGAATTATTTTGTTTTTGTTTATATAAAACCCAAGAGGTTTTTCAAAATAGGTTTTTTATCAAGGTTCCAAGGGGAGTATAGACTAGACCCCTTAGGGACTGGGTAGGCCACCGTTAACCTTTTTGGTTACATAGAAGGGTGCTGAGCCCGTAAGACCCTAAACTCGTAGTTGCTTAAGAATCCCCTCCCCCCCCCCCCCAAAAAAAAATATCAAATGCGAATCCCCGTATTGCCCATATAAGGAGGAATATCTTCATTTTTTGGGGGTTGGGGGGGGGGGGGGGTTCTTAAGCCCCATTAGGGTACTTAAGGGGCTTCTATGCATGTGTGCTATAGCTACACTTAGAATGGGTTACTAAGTACCAACCTCCAAGTAAACCGCCGCCAGGACGAGAAAGAGGACAACGAGATACCGGAGGAGACTGCTGGAGAGGGAATCCAGCAGCCTCCCACTCAGGCGACCGGGGGCTTCTTGGGCTTCGGGTATGTAGGGTTGAGGGTTTAGGGTTTAGGTTTTAGGGTTTAGGGTTTAGGGTTTAGGGTTTAGTGTTTATGGGGTTAATGGAGCGGAAGTAAATGCCAATATGCTCTAGGGGGTTTAGTGTTCTCGGGCTTTCAGGGTCTGGAGGCTCTAGTGTCTTGCAATCTGCGGCTGAGGGTTCCAAGGCATCCCCCAACCCTAAGCCCTAAGCCCGAAGCCCTAAACCCTAAACCCTAAACCCTTTTCCCTAACCTCAGAAACGCCCGCACAGGAGGAGGTCGTCGATCTTGGAGCAGGCGACAACAGGGTTTAGGGTTTAGGGTTTGGGGTTTAGGGTTTAGGGTTTAGGGTTTAGGGTTTCGCGACAACGCCGCCGACCCTAGCCTCGACAAGGTTGATGCGTAGCTACGTGGGGTAGCAACTACATCTACGACTGGCCATGACCTTTTCTGGGGCTGTTGGCCCTACTTATACCCTAAACCGTTATAAAGGCTGGGTCCCGTAATCTGCAAATGACCCCGAGGCAAAAACACGCGCACACGTGCAAGCAACCCCTAAACCCTACAAACCCTCAATGCCTACTAGGAGGTCCATGGAGACTTACAAGCCCAAGAAACCGTATAAGTCTACTTCTAACCTACTTAGGGGACTTAGGGAGCTAGTGCAGTTATAATTGTGGGGTTGGTAGTACCCTGAACCTCCAAGTAGCCGGAACGGTGAAGCAGAAAAAAGCACCCTGCGGTGCCTGCACCTGCACCACTCTGCAAGGAGTAGACAAGTACCAGGCTCGGGACGTCTGCTGTCTGCCGTGCGTGACCCTAAACCCTAAACCCTAAACCCTAAACCCTAAACCCTAAACCCTAAACCCTAAACCCTAAACCCTAAACCCTACACCCGAAACCCGAAACCCGAAACCCGAAACCCTAAACCCGAACCCTCAACCCTAAACCCTAAACGCTAAACCCTAAACCCTAAACCAGCGGCTGGAGTGGTTTGCCCGTTCCCCCCCCTTCCCCCCCCTTTCACCCACCTTCCCCTTTCCCCGCCCTTTCCCCCCCCCTTCCCCCCTTTGCCCCCCCCACGCTGTGGTTCATGGCCTGTGGTCATGGGTTTAGGGTTTAGGGTAGGCTGTAGTTTCACTCTGACCGCCTTGGTACCCTTCTCCCTCTGTGGTTCATTGGCGGGTTTAGGTTTTAGGGCTTAGGTTCAGGTTTGGGGTTTAGGTTGGGGGTTTCTCTCTCCCCCCCTGGTGTTTTTAGAGTTACCGGGCAGGGTTTTGGAGGGAATCCATGGGGGGGGTTCGACTACGCGGAATACGGGCGCATATGAGCCCTATAAACCCTAGAAACCCTAGAAACCCTATAAACCCTATAAACCCTGTAAACCCTGTAAACCCTATAAACCCTAAACCCACGCTACACAGCGTTTATAAGGTCCCAGAGTCGACCTATCTCATGATTCCGAATGTTCTCTAGGTCGACGCCAAGTGCTCATGCATCATAATATGGGGGGTTTCCGAAGTTCGGGGTGCAGGGTTTAGGGTTTAGGGTTTAGGTTTAGGGTAGCCGACATATGTGGGTTTACGAAAATAGGGGATCCCTAATTTTGACCCCCGAAATAGTAGGATCCCCTTCTCATAAGGACCCCAATAAGGTACCCCTAAACCCTAAACCCTAAACCCGCTGTAGGCCGTAAGCCCAGGCATGTGTAGGGTTTTGGTTTTAGGGTTTAGGGTTGAGGGTTGAGGGTTTAGGGTTTATAAGGTTTAGGGTTTATAGGGTTTAGGGTTTATAGGGTTATAGGGTTTAGGGTTTATAGGGTTTAGGGTATGCGGCTTGGCGTGGCTAGGTTTTCGGTATGAGGCGGTACCTTCCCAAAGCTCCGAATGAGCGCGTGCCAGACCGTGGTAGAGAACGTCTTCGAGGAGCTGCATCTGCCTCCAGATGTCTCGGCAGAAGCCCAAGCGGTCAGGAGCCCAGCAGGATTAGGGTTTAGGGTTTAGGGTTTAGGGTTTAGGGTTTAGGGTCGCTTGACTCCAAGAAAGGTCGCTTTTGGGGGGGGTTGCTGCAAGCCTGTCGCGGGATGCCATGTGCTTGATGCCACTGCCGATAAATTCCACCCACCTTTGTCCTGAAGCAAACCGCAAGTTCACTCGGGGTTTTTGCAAGAATAGGGGTACCTTGAAAGTCGCCGACGGCCGCACCGCAAAGGCCTGGCAAACGTTCATTGGTATGGCCAGCTCGCGAGAAGCGGCAGGCCCTGGGATTTTTTTTTTTTTTGGGGGGGGGGTTTAGGGTTGGCCTAGGTAGGATAAGGGGCACCCTTAAAAGGGAACCTTTCTTAACCCTCTTCTGGCTCTCTTAAACAGGCACCTTACTCCTAATCCTAGCCCCTATCATGGTCGTAGGGCACCGGGCAGGACGACCCTAAACCCTAAACCCTAAACCCTAAACCCTAAACCCTAAACCCTAAACCCTAAACCCTAAACCCTAAACCCTAAACCAATGCACACGGAAGTCCAAGATGACATGGGTAGCAGCTGTGGAGGATCGAGTGGTGAGAGCATGCCTCAATCCCAAATCCCTACACACGTAGAACAATCTCTTCTTCATACAAGGGTTATGACATTGGGGTTGCTATTCTAGGTTTCAGGAGTTTTTTGAGCTCCGGGCTTATGAAATTCATACCTGCCCTGAATCTCAAAAACTGTGGGCTTAGGGGGCCTTTTTTGTTCCTAGGTAGGATAAGGGGGACCCTTAAAAAGGGAACCCTTCTGAACCCTCTTCTGGCTCTCTTGAACAGGGAACTTACTGAGAGGGTCTATAGCCCCAAGGGTCCCCCTAATCCTATCCCCTATTTGCAGAGCCGAAAACAGGCGAAGCCATCTATGCAGCCCTCTTTGATGCGGCGCCCAGCCTTCAGAGCCTCTTCAAAACCGCCAGGCGCCGGGGAGGGTGGCATTTTTTTTGCTTTACTTGGGGGGCTTTTGGTGTTTTAGGGAAGGGGAATCCTGTTCTAGTCATGAAGATGATGCCCTAAACCCTAAACCCTAAACCCTAAGCCCTAAAACCCTAAACACCCATTCACATTGAGGTTCTTGGTCTTTCGAGGATGGGGGATGATGGGCATTTGGGGGTTTGCAGCATGTTCAGGGTTTTCGCGGTTTAGGGTTGAGGGTTTAACCCTGAATCTTAGCTTAGGGTTTAGGGTTTAGGGGTAAGGGTCTAGGGTTTAGGGTGGCCTGGGGGTTAGTTCCCGGGGCCCGAGCATGAGCTTTGGGTTGCCTTTCGTAGTTGCTGTAATCCTCGGCCCTTCGAGCATTCCTTGCCCTTACTCTCATAAGGGCGTTTCCGACACTAGGGGGTACCTTCTTGGCACCCTTCTCAGAAGGGAAGCTTAGCTTGTCCCCTACTTTCGAGAACCCCCATAAGGGAACCACCGGATGGGGGGGGGGGGGGTAAAGGGGTCAGGGGGTATAGGGTTTAGGGTTTAGGGTTTAGGGTTTTAGGAACGTGTGTGGCCAGGTCGGTCATGGCCTTGCGTTTCATGAACGGCCGGCGTCTCAGAGGTTAGGCTTTTTTGGGTTCTAGATTCTTCGACTTGTCGGGAGCTCGCTGTTGAGGCAACCTCACAGGCTTCTTGAGGGGATTTAGGGTTTTGCGGTTTAGCGTTTAGGGCTTTCATCTGCTGCCCAGCAAACTCCAGAAGTGGAGGTGCACGCGGCAATGTGTTCCGCCCCAGACTTCCCCCAACGCATTCTTCCTTAAGGCGAAGGTGCGTTGCCATGAAGGTGCTTTGCCATGTGGGGTCTACAAAAAAAGGGGTTTTCGGAAACCCCCATGTTCACCGTACGCAGAATCCGCCCAGGCATCAACTCCATCATCTCGGTGAGTGACAATCCGCAGTCTCTGAAGATGCAGGCCTTCGAAACAGTGGAGGGCGGGGAGGGGGCCTTGTTTATTTAGGTCTCAAGGGGCCGATGGTGCGGGGCTTTAGGGTCGGGCTTTGAGTCTAGAGTTATAAGGTTTGGGGAGTAGGGACTTTAGGGGCTTTAGGGGCTTTAGGGGCTTTAGGGGCTTTAGGGACTTCAGGGACTTCAGGGATTTTAGGGTTTAGGGAATTGGGGAATTGAGGGTTTAGGGTTTAGATTAAACCCTAAACCCTAAACCCTAAACCCTAAACCCTAAACCCTAAACCCTAAACCCTAAACCCTAAACCCTAAACCCTAAACCCTAAACCCTAAACCCTAAACCCTAAACCCTAAACCCTAAACCCTAAACCTTAGTTTCCCCCCCCCTCTGGACCCAGGTGGAGACGCTGGGCTTCCAGCACCTCGACCTGGCCCTGCTCTCAGAGCGTCGTTGCCACTGACGTTGCAAGCATAATGTGCATATATATCTATATATATATATATAGCATGATGTAGAAAGGTAATATAAATATCACCATATATATATATACACATACATATATATATATATATATATATATATATATACACATACATATATATATATATACACATACATGTATATATATATATACACATACATGTATATATATATATACACATATATATATGCTATGATTATTGTTTCAATGTCCTTCGTAGCCTCCAAACGCTCAAGGGCCCCTGCCTGTGCAGTTGGGTGGGTGGGCGAGGGAGGGGGCGCCGGGGAGGAAGTCACGGCGCCGCGCGTGGACATCTTTCGCGAGGCCATCGTCGAGCTTCTCGAGATGGACACGCCGACTTGGGGAATTTTTTTTTGCCGGGGGTGGGGGGGGGGGGGGGGGGGGGTACCCTAAACCCTTATCCCCCTAAAGGGCTAGAGGGCTTAAGAGATCCGTGTTAGGGGTTAGGGTCCATGTTTAGGGGTTAGGGTTGCGAGAATTGCCTGCCCTGAACTCTGAAGGCCTTTAAGGCCCTATACCATAGGGCTTAGGGTTTAGGGTTTGGGTTTGGAGCCGGTTTCGTGCTTAGGGTTTAGGGTTGAGGGTTTAGGGTGCTCAGCAATAAGCAGCTCCTCGCTAAGTCTTTGTGCATATGGGTGTTCGTGTCCAGAGTCTCTCTCTCTCTCTCTCTCTCTCTAACCCTAAACCCCCCTAAACCCCCCTAAACCCCCCTAAACCCCAAAACCCTAAACCCTAAACCCCAAACCCCAAACCCCAAACCCTAAACCCTAAACCCTAAACCCTCAACCCTAAACCCTAAACCCCTCTGTTTAGTTCTTGTTGGAAGGCCTTTGCAGGCGGAGTCGCCCCAAATCACAGGCGAAACAGGAATCATTTAGGCCCCAAGAGGAAGGAGCCGAATCCGACACAGGTTCTAGCTCAGAAGTTCAGAAGACGGTTTGGGGTTGTAGGGTTTAGGGTTTAGGGTTGCAGGTTTAGGGTTCAGGGTCTAGGGGGTGTTTAGGGTTTAGGGTTTTTAGGGCTTTTTAGGGTTTGGGGTTCAGGGTTTAAGGTTTTTAGGTTTCCGAGCAGATGAAAGGCGCGACTGCTACAGCCGCCAAATGCCCCCAGAGTCGACGAAAAGTCTAAGACCCTAAACCCTTAACCCTAAACCCTAAACCCCAAAAACCCCTCTGAAGCCGAAGCCGACCGGAGGTCCCTCAGTGGGTTTGAGGGTTTAGCTTAGAACTCTTGTTTGGTGCACTTACAGCAAACTCCAGAAAGTTGGAACAAGGATGATGAGAGCTGGGATTCTTTTTGGTGTTCCGTTTGGGTTTTAGGGTTTAGAGCACAACCTACCCCCGAATCCCCTAAACCGTGAACCCTAAACCCGAAACCCTAAACTCTAAACCGCTCAAGTAGGCCCTAGAACCCAAAAACCTGCGAATATCCACCCCGCAAGCCAACACCCTACTTACCCTGAACCCTAATTACCCGAAACCCCAAACCCGAATTACCCTAAACCCTAAATACCCTAAACCCTAAACCCTAATGAATTACCCTAAACCCTAAATACCCTAAACCCTAATTCCCCTAAACCCTAATAACCCTAATAACCCTAATAACCCTAATAACCCTAATAACCCTAATAACCCTAATAACCCTAATAACCCTAATAACCCTAATAACCCTAATAACCCTAAACCCTGAACCTCCAGGAGCTGGGGCCACGGCTGACCTCAAAGGGGCGAGTGGGCTTGGCGGCGGGCGGCTTAGGAAGGTTCTTTCAGGTTTAGGTGGGTTTAGGGTTTAGGGTTTAGGGTTTAGGGTTAGGGTTTAGGGTTTTGGGTTTAGGTTTACTCCCGGATGATTCGCGCAAGAAGGGTTGCACTACGATGCTAAGCCCTTTCCTGGATGGCAATGAGGTAGGGCCTCCAGGGGCTTAAGACTTCTCGCACCCCCGGCGCGCCACCTCAAAGATCGGCATCCGAAAGCACCAAGCCACACAGCTTGTTGAGTGCTAAACCCTAAACCCTAAACCCTAAAGTGAAGCTTCTCCAGGAAGCTTCCGCCCCGGGGTTGTGGTGATGCGGCACGACCAGGGGCCTGTAAGATAATGGCTTAGCGCCTCAGTGACCAAACTGTTCCGCTACCCGAAATGATAGATTCTGCTAAGCCCGAGCCCTTTGCAACCCCATACTGTTCAGACTAAAACGGTCCCCTCATGTTTCGACGGAGCATCGCGAGGTCATACTGAACTATGTCGGAGGCGCATACATCTACATCCGCCACCAGCTCAGGTCATCTGCTTTTTAGTACTCCCTTGCCCACGAATATGAACCTCCCCTGTATAGAAAAAAACCCAATTCTTGAAGTGGTTTTAGAAGGGGGGGTTCTTATCCGTTGTCCCAACAAACAGCCCGTCCTTTCGAGCCTGCCGGGTTTCCGGCTGTCAGGGTAAACCCTAAACCCTAAACACTGAACCCTGAACCCTAAACCCTAAACCCTCGACCCGGGTTTAGGGGGCAACTGCAGAGTTCAGGCCTCAGGTTTCTGCTTCAGGCTTCCGATCCTCCCCCCCCCCCCAAACCCCCGGTAGAGGTGGTAGTAAGGGGCGGCTGCGGGTTATCGGGCCAGGGGGGGGGTTTAATATTTGGGGGCGCATGGGGGGGTATGATTCTTAGGGGGAAGGGATTAGGGCTGAGGGTTTGCTGCAAGGCTTGGGGCTAAAGTCTAGGGTTCACTATGGGGTTTAGGGTTTAGGGTTTCCCTAAGCCCCCATAAGCCCCATAAGCCCCGCGCAGACGCGCCCAGGCCGCGAGTACGCCGGACGCATTCGGATCATCCAAAGAAGCTGGGCGACTGCCAACAACAAGGCGCCTCGGGAAGCCATGGTTTTTTTTATGCTGACTTAGGGACTGGGAAGGGAACCTATAACCTTTTTGTGGTCACATGGAATCCTACTCTCTATCCATCTATGTATGTATGTATATATATATATATATATGGGAACGGCCCAAAATGCTAGGCTTGTAACAGGCCCCCGGGGGGGGCACGGCGCGACAAAGGGTTTGTAACAAAATCCGGTTCTTGCGACAAGCCTTGCGCGACAAGGCTTGCGACAAGGGGCGTTTTCTAGAATGTCACGCGACAAAGGTTTGAAACATAGCTGGCACGACAAGGGGCGCGACAAGGGTTTGTAGCAAGGTGGGGGCCGCCCCCCCGCGACAAGGGGGGTATTGGGCCAAGCCCATATAGGTTCACCTGTTTCGGGCTAGGGTATCCCGCCCCTAAGATGATGGTCTATAGCCCCAAGATATCAAAGGGCATGATGCTGGGTACTTTGAGGGTTTGGGGCACCTAAGTTAGGCTCCCCATTCTTTGGTTGCCCGTTGCAGGTCGGATACCCCAAAAAGGGCATGCCATGCAGTTCAAACTTCAAAATCTTTGCCCTAAACTCCCCAAACTCCCCAAACTCCCCAAACTCCCTAAAACTCCCTAAACTCCCCAAACTCCCCAAAAGCCCTAAACCCTAAACCCTATGCTTCCTACACTCCCTTGCCTTGCCTTGCTTCGGCAGACCGAAGACGACGAGATGGTGGCTGGTGAGGGCCTGATTGAGCCTTGGCTTTCTTCTGGCTGGCTCTTAGGACTTTAGCCTTTGGGTTTAGGGTTTAGGGTTTAGGATTTAGGGTTTAGGGTTTAGGGTTACTTCAAAAAGAAAAACCCTAAATCCTAGCCCTAAGCCCTAAACCCGAACCCTAAAATCAGCCAAGGAGCATCAGCACGGCGAGCAAAAGGATGATGGCTCTGCCCCGAAAGGCGCAGCGGACCGATACTCCTGGTGGTTAGGGTTTGGGGTTTGGGGTTTGGGGTTTGGGGTTTAGGGTTTTAGGGTTTTAGGGTTTTAGGGTTTTAGGGTTTAGGGTTTTAGGGTTTTAGGGTTTTAGGGTTTTAGGGTTAGGGTTTAGGGTTTTAGGGTTTTAGGGTTTTAGGGTTTTAGGGTTTTAGGGTTTTAGGGTTTTAGGGTTTTAGGGTTTTAGGGTTTAGGGTTTTACGGTTTAGGTTTTAGGGTTTAGGATTTAGTGAATCTCGCATCAGGAAGAAGGACCCTAGTTTAGAACAACTTCCACCTGTTCTCCTCTCCCCTTGAGCCTCAAAACCTTGAACCCTAGTCCGCAATGTTGTCAGGCGCCGACAACGCTGCTGACAACGGCGTGGTTGGCAATGCCAACGCAGGCAAGGAGGTTTAGGGTTTAGGGTTTAGGGTTTAGGGTTCAGGGTTTAGGGTTTAGGGTTTAGGGTTTAGGGTTTAGGGTTTAGGGTTTAGGGTGATGCGGTTAGGATTTGGACTGCAGGGTTCAGGGTGGAGGAACTCGAGGTTTGGGTCAGCCAAGGTATGCACCCTAAAACCCTAAACCCTAAACTTTAAACCCTAAACTTTAAAACCCTAAACTTTAAACCCTAAACCCTAAACCCTAAACCCTAAACCCTAAACCCTAAACCCTTAGGCATTAGGGTTTTGTGGTGGAGGTTCGGGGATGGGGAGCGATGGGCTTGCAGCGCGTCGCTACGTTGGCCCTCTGGGAGATCGGCTTGCGGTCAAGCTCCGGCAACCTGAAGCGACTCTCTTAACAGCCAACCCTACACCCTAAACCCTAAACCCTAAACCCCAAACCCCAAACCCCAAACCCTAAACCCTAAACCCTAAACCCTAAACCCCATCCCCTCCGAAAGGCAACAATGCCACGATGTCAGCGCTGCGCAGCTCCATGGAAGCCCAGGGAAAGCTGAAGACCAGCAACATGAAGGCCGTTTTTGGCTGCGGTTCAGGGTTCCGGGTTTAGGGTTTAGGGTTTAGGGTTTAGGGTTCAGGGTTCAGGGTTTAGGGTTTAGGGAATAGGGTGCTGGGGTATTTGGGGGTTTACGATATCAGGGGCATCTTCTTGGGGTCCTTGTTAACAAGGGGATCCTAGCGCTGGGGGTCTATACTAGGGGTTGCTTGTCATCATAAGCCCCCATCCAGCTATCAGAACAGCTTCTTGACTTTTGAAGGTTCCCACGACGTTCAACGAGATGTTTCTCTTCAATGCCGCGGTGATGGGGTTTGCTGAAAGAGACTTGCCAAAGCAATCAGCGCATCTGCATTGCTGTGCGTGATATGGGTCTCATGCTGCCTGTGAGTTCATCCCAGATGTAAAGCTGACGCAACTGGGATTACAGGGTTCTTCAGGGAGGGGGGTTCAAGGGGGGGTATGTAACCCAAGGCTCCCTATTACTCCCTACGACTCCCTAAGCTCCCTAGGCTTCCCTAAGGTTCCCTAGGTACCTGCACTCCATGAACCCCCTCCCTTAAGAACCCTATATCGGGAGCCTTGTAGCGAAGCTACTCGGCCTGTCTGCCAGGCGGATGGATGAACTTGGTGTTGGAGCAGTTCGATGCCATTGTGACAAACGTCGCCAACTCCTATCGTCTTCAGGAGGAGTGCGACGTCCTCTCTCTGGTCCTGTCGAAGTGGCTGGGCAGACCATAACTTTGCTAGCTAAGGTGGCACCGCTAGCACCCGCATGCACCAAGGGCATGTCGAATTCCTTTTGAAGCTCAGATCACATTACGTTGCCCAGCCGCCCCCCCCCTTTGCCCTTCAAAGAAAGAGAAGACAGAAGGGCTGCCTCGTGAACGAGGAAAGGCCAGAAGAGGGCCCTTGCGGTTCATGGTCCAGAGTAGAGCTTGATGTTTGGGAGTGTCAGCATGTTCCCAATAAGCGTAGCCCCCTCCCCCCTAAACCCTTCTCCCCCGAAACCCGATACCCTCAACCCACAACCGCAACCCCCCCTCCCCCCCGTCCCAATGTACCTCGAAGTGCTCGAGGCTCTCAAAGGGCCAACCTAACCTGAGCCTAAGCCTCTATTGCCTTGGTCTGGGGTTCGGGCTTACGGGGTTGAAGGGGTGAACGTCTGAACCCTAAACTTGTAAACCCCTAAACCCCTAAACCCCTAAACCCCTGGACCCCTAGACCCCTAAACCCCTAAACCCCTAAACCCCTAAACCCCATAAACCCCATAAACCCCATAAACCCCCTAAACCCTAAACCCTAGAAACCCCATAAACCCTAAACCCACCCAACTCCTCTGAACCCGAAACCCCTAAACCCTAAACCCTAAACCCTAAACCCTAAACCCTAAACCCTAAACCCTAAACCCTAAACCCTAAACCCTAAACCCTAAACCCTAAACCCTAAACCCCTAAACCCTAAATCCCTAAACCCTAAACGCCCAAGGTACCTGGGTGGGCACATCGGCCTGCCAGAGTCATCGGCTCAGAGGGATCTTAGTAGTAGAGTAGGCAACTTTTGACCCTAAACCCTAAACCCTAAACCCTAAACCCTAAACCCTAAACCCAAAACCCAAAACCCAAAACCCAAAACCCGAAACCCAAAACCCAAAACCCTAGCCCTAAACCCTAAACGAATCCCTATAAATTCCCAAAGGCTAACCTTCAATTCCCTGAGGTTGCTGGACAACTAAGGGGTCATGGCTTGGGATTTTGGGGTGGAGGCCTTGGGGTTACGGGTTTAGGGTTTAGGGTTTTTGAGTTTAGGGTTTAGGGTTTAGGAATTTAGCATTTAGGGTTTAGGGGGTTTAGGGGGTTTAGGGTTTTGGGTTATAGGGTTTAGAGTTGGGGGTTGACGTGGTTTGGAGTCTAGGCCGCTGTAATCCTAACAGAAATCAGGGGGCAAAAGTGGGTGCGTCGTAGTGTGCATGACTGGCTGCCCGCGATTCTTGCATGTGTCGCCATCGCGCAGTCACAGTCGTACCAGGATTGGTGTTCGCGAGCTGGTTCACGGGTAGTTCTGAGCAAGACTGCCTCAATGATGAGGGTCATGAACACAGTTACCCGACATCTCGTCTTACGAATAAGTATACAATCCCAGCCCTAAACCCTAAACCCCCCTGTGATCGCGGGTGTGAAGCCTGCTGTAGGTGGGGGGGTGGGTGGGTGGGTGGGTGGGTGGGGGTTTATGCTACCCAGACACCTCAGGGGGAACATCCCAAACTACAACCCTAAACCCTAAACCCTAAAGCCTAAACCCTAAACCCTAAACCACTCGGCGGATGAATTCCCACGCACCTCGTGAGCAGGTTCAAAGCCGTCATGCTGGCTTCTTTGCGGTCTCTGGTCCCGAAGGCGCCTCATGCCTTGGACCCTGAACTTTAGGGTTTAGGGTTTAGGGTTTAGGGTTGAGAATTTAGAGTTTAGGGTTTAGGGTTTAGGGCTTGGGGTTTAGCGTTTGAGGTTTGGGGGGTTTAGGGGATAGGGATCGGGTCTAAACTTCAAACTCCAAGCCCTGGTCCAAATTCGCAGGGCCTTGGGGTTTCAACGTCGCAGAAAGCTAGAAGGTTGGAAGGTTGGTTTTTAGTCTTTTTTTAGTTTTGTGTGCTAGTTTTGTGTGAAGGTTGGAAGGTTGGTGCCCGGCTGTGCTTTTTTGTGGATGTCGGAACATCCGAGACAACCCGCTTGCGGTAAACCCTCCCGCTCCTTAGGGCCTCAGCAAAGCACGCTCCCCCAGATTGCAGGGCTGCCCCCTTGTTAATCCCCAGTTGTGGGATTGAATTAGGGTGTAGGGTTCAGGGTTCAGGGATTACAGTCCTTCAGGTGGGGGAGTGGTTGTGGGGGTGGGGAAGGGTCGGAGGACGAGAAGATGTCAGTTGCAGAGTGCGTAGTCTGAGCCTGCTCATATAGTCAGTTCTCAAACTTATGCTCCTAAACCCTAAACCCAAAACCCTAAATCTTAATTAGGGGCCACCTGATTGTAATAGTCTCCCCAAAAGGGACCAGAACTTAAGAGAAGTATATATTGAGGGGCCGCCTTAGTAGTAGTAGTAGTAGTAGTAGTAGTAGTAGTAGTAGTAGTAGTAGTAGTAGTAGTAGTAGTAGTAGTAGTAGTAGTAGTATAGTAGTAGTAGTAGTAGTAGTAGTAGTAGTAGTAGTAGTAGTAGTAGTAGTAGTAGTAGTAGTAGTAGTAGTAGTAGTAGTAGTAGTAGTAGTAGTAGTAGTAGTAGTAGTAGTAGTCGTCGTCGTAGTAGTAGTAGTAGTAGTAGTAGTAGTAGTAGTAGTCGTAGTACTACTACTACTACTCCTCCTCAGCACAATAGTATGCCCCAAAAGGGACCATGATATAGAGAAGTGACCATACAGCCTGGCAGAGCGGGCTGGCTTCTTTTGATATGCTCGTTGTTTTTTAGTAGGGAGTCAGGGAATCGGGTTCCCCTATAATGTCTACGTTAGAATGACTAGCATGATAGTACAGAGGCATACGTACGGTACCGACCCTAAACCCTAAACCCTAAACCCTAAACCCTAAACCCTAAACCCTAAACCCTAAACCCTAAACCCTAAACCCCTACCTAAGAGAAGTAGGAGGCATGGCCGCATTGCATCTTCTTGCGCGATGGGCTCCAACTATATAAATACTGGCCATGGGGTCTAAGGCCTGTAAGTAATACCTACTTTGGGCTTGGGCTATTCTTGCTGTTGGTTAGCAGGGAATGAGGGAATGAGGGAATGAGGGAATGAGGGAATGAGGGCCTTTTTAATCCTTTAAAAGGTATATATAGCGCCCTAGTTCCCTCATTCCCTGCTAACCGTAACCAACTGTAAGTATTTGGAACCCTAAACCCTGAACCCTAAACCCCAAACCCTTGCGCCATGGGCAGGACTGGGACTCCGAGCATGAGGTCGCCTGGAACTGGCTGTGGGAGAATGTTGAGCGCATGCTGCGGCTTGGCTCTGTGGGTTTGGGGTTTAGGGTTTTTTGGCTTAAGGGTGTTTAGGGTTTAGGGCTTGGGGTTTGCAGGAAAGTTGACTTCGCATTCCGCATGGCTCGGAGGTCCGACGGCCGAGTGTCGACAAGAGTTTCGTGTTTAGGCTGCCGGGGAGCAGGCGAAGCTTTGTAGTAGAGTAGGTAACCTTTAACCTTTTTGGGGTAATATGGTTTAGGGTTTAGGGTTTAGGGATAGAATCCTCTTATAATCCCAAAGGTTAACCTGTAGTTCCCCTAGGTACTGGACAACTAAGGAAGTTTCTCTGGTTTTCCAGGCACTGGCATCACCCTATGAAATAAACAAGACTAGGACCCAGAGTAGGCCCTCATTCCTTTTTTTAGGGCTTAGCCGCCCCTTTAAGCCAAAAAACATGTGCCCTTTCGTATTCCTGTTACTCTTGTAGCCCTAAATGGGAGTCTTCTACGCCGGCACCTTACCGTTGATCATCGCAAGCCCAAAATACAGACCCGAAGCGCCAGAACGCCTGATCCCACCTGAATCTCTACGACCCTCTAGACCGAATAAAGCCTATAACCCCTACAACTTCCAGAAATCCCCGATAACCACTGTACAAAACCCCAAAAAGCCCATGAACACCACAAGCCCTGAACCCCAAAACCCCATGAACCCCAATAAGCCCGAAATGAACCCTCTAAACCCTAAAACCCCTGAACTCAGGAGGGCGCACATGGGCAAGCCACAGGCGCGGAATCTCGTGGGCTGCACATGGGTTTGTTTAGGGTTTGTGGCTTCGGGTTTAGGGTGTAGGGTTTAGGGTTGAGGGTGTAGGGTTTAGGGTTAAGGGTTTAGTTTTTTAGTGTTGTTTTTGGGGGGATTGAGTTGGGCTTGGCATCACCGCAGAAATGGAATGTCACTTGGCAGAGGCGTTTTGGACGCCAGGCTCAAGAGAGGATGTGTGAGCATGCCCTTCTTCACCCCCAAAAAGTTAGCCTTCAATCCCTAAACCCTAAACCCTAAACCCGAAACCTTAAACCCCCTAAGCCCTAAGCCCTTGGCCCCTAAACCCCTAACAGCCCTTAACGCCCTGAACCTAAACCCTAAACCCTAAACCCTAAACGCTTAAGACGCCCTCCAGGTGCATGAGAAGGCGATCGAGAGGTTCATCGTGGGCCTCTCGGAGGAGTCGATCGGCTTCTTGCGGCGCGAGGTCTACAAGAGGTCTGTCTGAGACGAACGGAATAATATCATTCATATATTTATATATATATACACATCATTTGTATATATATATATATATATATATGCAGGAGGTAGACCATATGTCATAATATCATATCATATTATATCATATCATATCATATCATACCATATCATACCATATCATACCATATCATATCATATCATATCATATCATATCATACATCATATATATATATATATATAGATATATAGGTAGGCGACTTGAGATTCTTTTCTGGGAGAATCTCGGGTACTTCCGTGGATTTGCACTGGAAGTCGTGTTGAGGTGACGGAATCCCACACAAAGGTTTAGGGTTCAGGGCTGCACCTCCAAGATTCCCTCGGCGCAGGTTCTTCCAGCTTGCTCCGGCGGGCCAGGACCACTTCAAGCAGTCAACCACGCGGCTGCACTTCATCGCAGATAAGCGCCTTGCTTGCATGTGCGCATTTATGTCTATGTGAAAATACCTATCTTGGCAGACTGTAAGACTCAAGTTGCTTCGACCATCAGCGTGTTCCCCTACTCTCCCCCCCCCCCCCCCCCCAACCCTAAACCCTAAACCCTGAACCATCCTAACCCTAAACCCTAAACCCCCTCCCCCCCCCCCCCCCCCCCCCCCCTCCCAGGATCATCGAGATGACAGTGGAGATGTACAAGCAGCCGAAGAGGATGGTGGAAGACATCTCTGCTCTCGGGCTACGTGCGGGCCTCAGTTGCTTTGGGGGCGCAGCTCGGTGTCGCCATCCGCAGGGTTTAGGGTTTAGGGTTTAGGGTTTAGGGTTTAGGGTTTAGGGTTTAGGGTTTAGGGTTTAGGGCTTAGGGCTTAGGGCTTCGGGCTTTGGATGGATTCTGCGGGGAGCTGAGGCAGATGCCCAGAGACTCCAAGACCCCTTAGCTCAGGAATGTACCTGAAATCATCTTAGGGTTCCTACTATAGTTTAAGGTATATTCCTCAACTAAGGGGTGTTGGAGTCTCTGGGTGCAACTACCGAACATTACAGTCGATCCGTTGCTCGGAAAGTTGTCTCAAGCACAGTTAGCGGCAGCAGGATGCCCCGGGTGAGGGGGTGGGGGGGGGCTCACCCAAACCCCGCTCATACCTTAAATCTTTTGAGGCAATTTTAAGCTTAGAGTTTAGGGTTTGGTTTTTAGGGTTTAGTGTTTATGGTTTCGGGTTTAGGGCCTAAACCTCAAACCGAGCTCTGGCCAAAACGTGGGCCTTGATCCAGAATCCGAGAGTCCAAAGCATTGACCAACCAACTTTCATCAAAACGTTGCCCAAAGGTCCAGATGTTGGGTTTACAGCCCCTCGGGCTCCAAGTATATAAAATAATACCTACATTGGGGTCTAAAGTCTGTGAATAGTACCTAGTTGGGGCTAATTGGAGCCTTAGGGTACAGCGTTTCGAGTTTGTCCAGGCCACGTCGGCTACGCCATTCCCACGGAGCTCTTCTCCCCGTTCGTGTCTGGAGCGGTTGATGTCGTACGGCTGCTGACAACGGACCGGCACTCAGCGTTCCCAGAGACTCCAAAACCCCTTAAGCAAGGAATATACCTTGAATGGCATTAGGGTTCCTACTGTAATTCAGGGCATATTCCTTAAGTAAGGGGTTTTGGAGTCTCTGGGTTCATGATCCCAACCTGACGTGACATCCGGCCGTCCTTGCCGCAGATTGCCTGAGGTGTCGGCTTGCTCTTAGCAGAATCAGGCAGACTACCAGGTAGACCCTTAAACCCCTAAACCCTAAACCCTAAACCCTAAACCCTAAACCCTAAACCCTAAACCCTAAACCCTAGTCAAACCGGGAGCTCAGAGCCGAGCTTCATGTTCGACAGCCCTGTCGAGTGCAGCGTTTAGGGGTTTAGGGGTTCAGGGGTTCAGGGGTTTAGGGGTTCAGGGGTTCAGGGGCTTAGGGGTTTAGGGGTTTAGGGGTTTAGGGGTTTAGGGGTTTAGGGGTTTAGGGGTTTAGGGGTTCAGGGGTTTAGGGGTTTAGGGGTTCAGGGGTTCAGGGGCTTCGGGTTTAGGGGTCTAGGGGTTTAGGGGTTCAGGGGTTCAGGGGTTTAGGCGTGTAGGGGCTTCGGGTTTAGGGGTCTAGGGGTTTAGGGGTTCAGGGGTTCAGGGGTTCAGGGGTTTAGGCGTGTAGGGGTTTCGGGTTTAGGGGTCTAGGGGTTTAGGGGTTCAGGGGTTCAGGGGTTTAGGCGTGTAGGGGTTTAGGGGTCTAGGGGTTTGGGGGTTCAGGGGTTCAGGGGTTTAGGTGTGTAGGGGTTTCGGGTTTAGGGGTCTAGGGGTTTAGGGGTTTAGGGGTTTAGGGGTCTAGGGGTTTAGGAGTTTAGGGGTTTAGGCGTGTAGGGGCTTAGGTGTTCAGGGGTTTAGTGCTTAGGGTCCACAAGGCCCCATGTCCAGATCATGCGCGTCCGCCCCGAGGATGGCAATGCGGAGGAGGCCTTCCGGTGGTCTTTGACGCTGGTGTCCAAGATCTTGGTGCGCACGATCCTGGAAGGCGGGCGCATATGAGCTTTCGGAGCCAGGGTTGGGGATCTCTATAGAAATGGCTTAAACATCATGTTTGTTTTTTTTTACCCTCAAATCCCCTATGTAATCTTATAGAGCCATGAAAATTTAAGGTTATTATTGGGCCCCCAGACTATTGCCCTCAAATCCCCTATGTAATCTTATAGAGCCATGAAAATTTAAGGTTATGAGGCCCCAAACCGACCCCAGTACAGGGCCTGTACCCGAACTTTCCAGCGATTCCAGCCCTGGCGCGCTCGACGCCGCAAGACCCGTTGGCATTGAGGGTTTAGGGTTTAGGGTTTAGGGTTGCGAATTTGGGAATTTGAGTCTTGGTTGGGGGGGGTATGCAATTCATGAAGTTGGGATTGACTCAGGGGGGCATCGGGCACACGCAGTTTAGGTTGAGCAAAGAGACTTCAGGGCATGAAAGGGGCATGTAAGATGCTGACTTGAAGCCCCTGAAGTCAATTACAGCACTGACATAGTAGCATAAAACAAAATATTAGCATCAGAATGTAACAACATAAGATCTACAGCAGTATAACCGCATATCAATTTAAAACATGTACGAGTAGAGTAGTATAGAATCATCATATCAGCAAACAAGAACGTAGAATGTTGTAGCATGTGAAAGCAAACAACAAAAACTACAATATAGCAATCTGGTAGTACGATTATAAATACCATAGTTTACCAAACATCTTAGTAGTAAATACAGATTTCACGGTATTAAACAACATTTTCAGAATACAATGCGATAACATATAAATGATCTTGCAATATAACAGTATAGTAGTGCAATGACATAGCGATGGAGTAATGTAAATTAACATGATATACTATTATGCTAATATGTTAGTGAATAGCCAAATTGTTTTTACACACACACACACATATATATATATATATATATATATATATGCAAGGCTAGCGCAATCCTGCCGTATTTTTCAGAATCGCCATTTTCTAAACCTCAACTCTGAACCCTAAACCCTAAAAACCCTGAGAGCCGGAAGGCTCAACGGTTGTGATGAAAGCCGTGAACACCAACTCGGAGAAGGCCATGCACTGGCGTCCGAGTCCCTTGAGGGGCGATTTTGGGGGGATGCCTGGGGTTTGGGGTTTGGGGTTTAGGGTTTAGGGCTCAGGGTGTTTGTTAGATCTCAGAGGTAAGGTTTGGAGGATTTGGAATGTGGAGGTGGGATATCAGATGTGTCTACTACTAGTACTGCACCACTCCTCCATCTATGGGGCGAAAGGCCGTATCACAAGACCCCGAAACCCCCCCCAAAACCCTAAACCCTAAACCCTAAACCACCATGAACTCCCTGAGCAGAAAGCCAGCCAGGCCTTGCGCAAGGCCGTGAACGTTGCCCCGCGAGGGCGCCGTGCCACGGACCTCCTCAACATCACGGCTCCGAGCTGGCAGAGAGTTTAGGGTTTAGGGTTTAGGGTTTAATTAGGGTTTCGGGTTTAGGGTTTAGGGTTTAGAGTTTAGAGTTTAGAGTTTAGGGTTTAGGGTTCAGGGTTCACTACTAAAACCACCTAAGCCTACGTAGGGTTTATGGTTTGGGGTTTAGGGTTTAGGGTTTAGGCCGGTGTGCCAGGCTTGCATGGGCTGGTAATTTAAGGAGCAAATGAAACTAAAAAGTGGGGTCATCTTCCCTATACTACTATAATATATTTCGGGTTTAGGGTTTAGGGTTAGGGTATCGCTATTATAATTAATCCCTATTAGAGCATATGAACCACAAGCCCTTTTAGGGTTTAGGGTTTAGAGTTTAGGGATAAATCCCTATTAAAGTATATGTAATCCCTATTAGAGTATATGAACCATGGACCCTTTTAGGGCTCATGTAGTCCTTAAGGTATATGTAGACCTTCTGACTACCTTAGCTGTTGGGCCTCTCGCTGCGAACGCTTCTCGCGCCAACCTAAACCTTACGCCCTACACCCTAAACCCTACACCCTAAACCCTAAACCCTCAACCCTAAACCTCAAACCCTAAATCCCAAACCCTAAACCCTAGACCCTAAACCCTCAACCCTAAACCCTGCTCCCTAATCCCTAAACCCTAAACCAGAACCCGAAATGCCGGAACCGAGGTCGGGACTCAGTCGATCTCGCCGCTGCACCTTGGCGCTCGTTGGCCACCGCATCGTAAGCCAGTTCTATACAGCAGTCGAACTGCCACACGCAGTACTACCATTGTCTGGTGCAAAAGTTCTCCTACACCCTAAACCCTAAACCCTAAACCCTAAACCCTAAACCCTAAACCCTAAACCCTAAATGTACCGCGGCTCCTCGGAGTACCGGAGGCTCAGAAAGCCTTGTTGCAGGTACTGGTCCATTGAGAGCGGCAGCCTCAACTGCGCCAAGGCAGGGTTTTTAGGGTTTGGGGTTTAGGGTTTAGGGTTTGGGGTTTGGGGTTTAGGGTTCGGGTTTAGGGCGACTCCAAGCGGGCGCCTTGCAAACCATTTTTCCCTTTGCTTCGAGTCGCGAGGTCTTTGACCAGGAAAAACATCTAGGAAGTTTCAGGTAAGTAGCCGCTTTCGTGGAAGGGCCTGAGGGTATAGGGGGCAAGATGTGAGGCGATGATTGACGACCTTCTCACCATCCGCGCTGATCGTGACAACTACTACTATGGATGCGACGCGTTGTTCGGACGTCATCCAGAAATCATTCACCGCCTTTGCGCCTTGGCGTCTTACGAAAATGTACATCAGTCGGCAAAGAGACACGAACCCTAAACCCTAAACCCTGAACCCTGAACCCTAAACCCTAGACCCTAAACCCTACATGGCTTCAGGTGCAGATGCCCCCACCTTGCTGCCTTCCTTACTGGACGGCTTGGTGTGGCGCTCCCGCATTGCCTCAGGAGGTGTGGCTGCTTCCCTAAACCCTAAACCCTAAACCCTAAACCCTAAACCCTAAACCCTAAACCCTAAACCCTAAACCCTAAACCCTAAACCCTAAACCCTAAACCCTAAACCCTAAACCCTAAACCCTAAACATGACTGCAGACCATGCCATGCGCGAAGTCACAAGGTTGTGAGGACATGCCTTGTGACAAGAGCCTCCTTCATCAGAAAACTGCTGGTTTGGCTGATTGCATCTGGTCTTTCCTCGCTCCAGGTCTGCGGAGGGTCAACTTCTATATCAAGCACCTGGGCGTCAAAAACCCTAACACCTTTGGAGTTAAAGGCTCAAAAGTTAAAAGGTCTCATCTGGATGACGACGAAACATGACTTTGAATGCATGTGGGACAGATGCCTGCACATATACCATCAGAGCTGAAGTCCGTTTTCCTACACACGCAGGAAATCGTCAAACCCCATTCCAAAGTTGAAACCCTAAACCCTAAACCCTAAACCCTAAACCCTAAACCCTAAACCCTAAACCCTAAGCCGACAGTTGGACAGATGCCAAGATAGACATTGTGGTAAACACGCCTGACATCGTCCTGGACAGCACATCAAAACCAGCCTACGGGCTCACAACTTTGCGCGCCGTATTTCATTCGATGCCCGCGGGTCTCTGCTTCCACGCCTCTTGTGTAGCTGCAACCCCCGAGTAGGTTTGAAGTTGGTTTAGGGTTTAGGGCTGAGGGTTTAGGGTTTGTTGATGTCGCTGTCCTCGGCTTTGACGCCCTGCGAGTAATAAAAGCCATCAGAGCAGAACAGCCGGCAAAAACAAGCTATCAGACCCTCGAAGTTTCATCAGAAGACGTGCAAGCGATGAGTGCAGATTTCAGGATTTCCCATGCTGTTCTGGTCCAAGTTTGACCCTAAACCCTAAACCCTAAAACACTAAACCCCTAAAATGAGATCTTGGCAGAACCCAGGCATCTCGTGCAGGACGAGAACGGCTACTTCAATCAGGCGCCAAGGTCTTACAAGGAGTTGGTAACCTTTAACCTTTTCGGGGTATTCCTAAACCCTAAACCTAAACCCTAAACCCTAAACTAATCCCTGTAAAATCCCACAAGTTCACCTTTAATTCCCCCCCCAGGTTGCTGTGCAACTAGGAGGTTGAGGTGTTGAGCGCATGTCGGCCCAGCCCTTACTTATTCACCTCTGGCTGGTTCTTAGTAGGGAATGGGGTTTAGGGTTTAGGGTTTAGGGTTTAGGCTCCTATGTACCCTGTGAGCGATCATACAGGGGCCCTCATCCCCTCATTCCCTACTAAGAACCACGGGGGTTTTGTCGGGTTGAAGAGGATGCGGGTTCGGAATATTCTCAAGGAGGTGTCAAGGGTCAAGGGCCAACCTAGTGATGGTTTCACAAAGGGCTTCGGGTGTGGGATTTAGATGACTTTTGGGGTTTTGGGTTTGGGACTTGGGTTCCGGACACAGACAGACGCTTCTCACACTTGAGGAATACTCTAAGCGTGACAGCAAGTCTTTGCAAGCACTTGGGTCCGGGGGTATCTCAGACTGCGACTACCGCATGGCAGACCAGCGGGCTTAAGGCGTGTCCTACGTCACATGCCCAAGAAGCAGCGAAGAGTAGGAGTTCTCTAACGCCTCTGGTCTCCAAATCACTCCGTCAAGTTCACCTCCAACCACCAACACCCTGCAACCCTTAAAGCAAACCAAAATCCTTGAGATTCGTGCCCCTTCCACCCTTACCCTAGTGTCTGGTTCGTAGGGAATGAGGGAATGAGGGCCCTGTACAATCCCTTGGCAGGTCCCTGTACAATCCCTTGGCAGGTATGTATAGGCCCCTAATTCCCTCATTCCCTACTAAGAACTGGGGGGCCGAAGAAGCCCTGAGGTTTCCGAAATTGGGCGTACCTTACTAGGGTCCTCAATATAGAGGACACCTACTATTTGGGGATCTGCATTAGGGGTCCTAAACCCTACCCTAAACCCTGAACCCTGAACCCTAAACCTAAACCCTAAACCCTAAACCCTAAACGACAGGCGCTGGAGTGGCTCGCAGACTTCAAGGATCCCAAAATCATCTGCCACTCTGTGGTGGCCACTTGTTTGGGTTTGGGGTTTAGGGTTTAGGGTTTAGGGTTTTGGGCTTAGGGAATTTCAGGGATCGGCTTTGCGGGGCTTGGGTTAGTGTTTAGGGTGTAGGGTTTAGGGTTTGGGGTTTGGGGTTTAGGGTTTAGGGTTGGGCTTGAAGGGGCCTGGTTTTCTTCAGGGTTACGGGCTGAGGGAGGGAAGGTGGTGCAGGACAGTTGTTATGTTGTGTCTGGCGCTGTTATCGGAAGCACGCCTTAAGGCAAGAGGCTGTGATGTGTTTTATGTTTGTATGGTTTCAGTGATCCGAGCTCATCATGCTGCAAACGGGTGAGTTGCGGCTTCCTGTGTGATGGAGCGCCGTTGCCAGGAGTTGAGAAGCAAGTCGCGCATCACCTGCAGCAGAGTTCCCCTAAACCCTAAACCCTAAACCCTAAACCCTAAACCCTAAACCCTAAACCCTAAACCCTAAACCTCAAACCCTAAACCCTAAACCTTTAAACTTGCCATCCAAGGTGTTATTCGCAGACATCATTTGGAGTCGGCTGGCCATCTACCTTTTCATGATGGGGCACCTTGCCTTGGTTGAGCAAATCGAGTTGCCCCTTGGGTTTAGGGTTTAGGGTTTAGGGTTTAGGGTTAGGGTTTAGTGCACAAAACCCCTCTAAGCCCCCCAAACCCTGACTGTATAAACTAGTATAAACCCACGGGAGGGGGGAGAACCCTCGACCTCAACCCTCAACCCTCCCTGAACCCTAAGCCCTAAAACCTGAACCCACTGCGAACCACAGGGGGAGAGGGGGAACCTCAAACCTTAACCCTGAACCCGAAAACCCACCACTACAGGGGGAACCCTAAACCCACCACGAACCACGAGGGGCGGAGTGAAAACCGTAGACCCTGCAGCCCACCCACCCCCACCACCCCCCCCCCCCACCCCCCACCTGGCACCCCCCCCCCCCCTCGCCAAAAGAAGCCCAAGAAGAAAAAGAACGAAGATCAGGAGATGCTACTTCCTCTTCATGCTGTGCCTGTTCATCACGAGCAGCTTGGCACAGCGATGCAGTCCTCTGTGCAGGGGAAGCGAGATGGGGTTTAGGGCCGGTATGGGATTGCTGCAGAGCTGGTGGGTTTTAGGGTATATAGTACATAAGTAGGCCTAAACCCTAAACCCTAAACCCTAAACCCTCTCTGCACGTGGTTCTTCAAGGTTCCTTTTGCCACCCTCGTTCTTCAAATTCTTGTTTGATTCCCTACCTGGAGGGTTTAGGGTTTAGGGTGTAGGGTTTAGGGTTTAGGGTTTAGATGTTCATGACAACCCTACTTGGGGTCCTCATCACCCCTCCTCAGCCCGAACCCGTCCTTACAAGGCCCAATGCCTTTGCACTCGAAAGCCCTCGAAATGTTTGGGGTTCAGGATTCAGGGTCTGGGGTTTACGGTTCAGGGTTTAGGGTTAAGGGTTCAGTTTAGAGCTCTAGGCTTCAGCAAGGGTGCCTGCGCGCGCCAAAACCCTTGAACTTCGAGTCTACTCCTTTCAAGCCCCCAAACCCCAAACCCAAAACCCTAATGCAGCCGGATTTAAGGCTTAGGGGTTCTTTGGGGCTTCTTTGAAGTTATTTAGGGGCTACTGAGGTGTGTATATATATATATATATAGGGTCTACCCCTTTACTTGGAGGTTCATGGTACTTATAACCCAAATAATAAACGTACTTCTAACCCACTTATAAGCCCCTTTCAGTGCCCTGACTTGGATGTAGCTGGGTTATACGTACAGTCATACTGGGTCAGTCCTCTAAATTAGTTCCCCTGTTTGGGTGCCCTAAGTAAGAGGGGCCGGCTTTATAATAAGCACCCCCCAAAAGGACCATCCTGTAGAGAAGCCAGCAGTTGAGTTGTTCAGTATCACGCGCCTCCCAGTAGCTGATGCAGCCTGAGGTCAGGCCATCATCCCCAGGCTCCAGGAGGGCAGCAACCACACCGTAGAGCAGGACCTCACAGGGGCCCATCGGGGCTTCCATTGGGGTTTGGGGTTTGGGGTTTGGGGTTTAGGGTTTAGGGTTTAGGGTCTAGGGGCTTAGGGGCTTAGGGCTTAGGGTTTCGGGTTGCGGTTGAGTTGAGTTGACGGTTGGGACGGGTTGGGACCCCCGCCCGCCTTCCTCAACAGATGCGCCCATGCACTCCCGTGTCCCAAGGCCCGAAACCAGGCTCCACAAACCATGCCCACATTTCGGCATGTTTGTGGGCTCTTAGTGCGGGAAATAGGCTATCTCGTGCTTTTCAAAAATGCGGCTGGTCGTGCCCAGGACATCATCCTCTTTGTGTGCCGCACGCTCATCTACTTGGGCTCCATGCGCCTTGCCCTGTTTGACCCCTGCGAGTCTGGCGGCTTTGGGACGTAAATGACAGAGGGTAGGGGCCACTTGCGGTATACTGCAACTTGATTGACTTCACGATATTATACCTTGGGATGTTCCCCCTTATACTAACAGTCCTTAATGGGGATTATAATAGGGGGTGCTATAATCCCGATTCAGGACTGTTAGTACAAGGGGGAACATCCCAATATATCCCCATTATGGTGACATCGCAGTCGCTCGTGCTACTGGATGCCTCCCTAAACCCTAAACCCTAAACCCTAAACCCTAAACCCTAAACCCTAAACCCTAAACCCTAAACCCTAAACCCTAAACCCGAAACCCTAAACCCTAAACCCTAAACCCTTGTCGCTGCTTTGGCGATTGCGTTTGTCGTTCGCAGCTTTTGAGAACAGTTCTCTGCCTGGGGGCGGGACATGCCTAGGAAAGCTCAAGGTCTTCCCAGCTGTGCAAAAAGCTAGGTAGGCCCTTGGTTTAGGGTTTAGGGTTTAGGGTTTAGGGTTTAGGGTTTAGGGTTTAGGGTTTATCTCTTCCCTTGTTGGGTTTAAGAGGATCATGTTCAGGAATATTTCTTCAGAGGCTTTCAAGGGCCAGCCAAGAAAAGCAACCATGTTCCGGGAAGCACTCAATACAGCTGCGCGCCAGAAGATTGGGCTTGAATCAGACCCGCGGCTTCTCCCCACATTTTTACTACTGTTTGCTTAAGAACCCTCCCCCCCCCAAGCAACAAAGAATTACGTAGAAATCCCCAAATTGTCCTTGTGAGGAAGAATCCTTCTTGGGGGGGTGGTTCTTAAGCAAATACTACTATTTGCGTAAGAACCCTAAAAGAATTACAAATAAAAACCCCTATATCACCCTTGTAAGGAAGGCCTTTTTTTTTGGGGGGGGGGGGGGGGCTCTTCGGCAAATACTAGTTGAAGATTAAGAGCACCGCGAGCCGGTGATAACACCAGGCCCACGACGAAGAGCTAGGAGGATGTACTGGGCGGGGAGGGCTGCGGTTTAGGGGTTAGGGTTTAGGGATGCTTAGGGTTTAGGGCTAGGGTTTAGGGCGTCAAGAATGACCCAAAGCGGATTGGACGACGTTTTTTGTCTTAAGCAATCGGCTGGCGTGCAACTTGGAGTTTGGCTTGCTAGGCCTGGGGGCTCATGTTTTAATGACACTTCATCCCTAGAACCCTGGTTAACCACTAAAAGCCTAAAAGCCCTAAACCCCCAAACCCTAACCCTAAACCCCTAAACCCCCCAAACCCCCTAAACCCCCTAAACCCCCTAGACCTTCAGAAGATGCTTGGGGCCAGCCCAGGTGCAAGCTGCTTGTGAGCCACTTGTCGGCACGAGGACTTTGTGAAGCACCCACAAGCATCCGCGAGAAGGAAAAACAAAACCTCAACCCTGAACCCTAAAACCTAAAGGGCACATATATCTAGAAGCAAAAAGATTCAACAGAAGAAATGCATGTATGTGCACTTCTCATGTAGATAAGAAATAGATATGCATACAAACAAGTACATATATACCAAGACATACACAGTACTATAGCTTACCCTTTTGCCTTTATATACGTAAAACCTGGACTATATAGACTCTGGATCTGAGAATGAAAATTTCATCCTGTTTCTTTCCCTCTCCGAAAGTTCGAGCGGCCTGAGTTGCCACTTCTGGCAACGGGCTTTGGGTGTAGGGTGCTAGGCTTGTCTGGCTTCTACGCTAGCCCTGCGTCTGAGGGCTAGATTGAGTTTAATGCTTCTTGGAATTGCAGTTGTAGTACCCCCCCCCCCCCCCCCCCCCAATTCATCCTCTCTGGAGTTAGGGTTCCGACACTGAAGCAAAGTAGGGCATCTGGGTCTTTACTAGGCTACTAGGCAATCTACTACCAATTGCTTAAGAACCCCGGAAAATGAAAAATTATTCCTCATTAAGGGTAATCTAGGAATATTATGTTTTTATTCTTTTGGGGTTCTTCGGGCTGGTTCTTAGTAGGGAATGAGGGAATGGATGCCCTACTAAATCACTGAAAGAATATATACATATATATATATATATACATATATAGGGCCCTAATTCCCTCATTCCCTACCAAGAACCAGGGGAACAACCTTAAACCCTAAACCCTAAACCCTAAATTTACTAAACCCTAAACCCTGAACCCTGAACCCTGAACCCTGAACCCTTAACCCTTCCCTCGTTCCCTACTAAAAACCAGTGGTTCTTAAGCAAATAGTAGTCTAGGTTTCGAATGGCTATCAGGTCAGATCAGGCTGCTCTTCCTGGACTGCAAAGCCAGGAACTTCACCAGGCCGAGCGGTTTAGGGTTTAGGGTTTAGGGTTTAGGGTTTAGGGTTTAGGGTTTAGGGTTTAGGGTTTAGGGTTTAGGGTTTAGGGTTTGTGCAGATTTGGGGGGAGGTGTACTTGGAGGGCAACTGGACATGTAAACCCTACACGGTATAGGGTTCAGGGTTTAGGGTTTAGGGTTTATTGTTTAGGGTTTAGGGTTTAGGGCGAGTCGCGGGTGTTTGAAATGTGGGCTTTTGTGGGGTTGCCGCCAAGAATTTCTCTGGGTTTTGGATGTCGATATCCGATAGTAGGCCTACGGACACGAGTGGATGATGCATACCCGATGGCCAATGGTCATGCGAAGTAGGGTTTATATTACTGTTTTTGGTGAGTGCACATAAGGTTCCCTTTTAAAATCAGTGAGTGTATATACCTGGTGTCCTTTTGGGGGTACAAGAAATATATACCCTACTTCATGTGATGTCATGTGTGCACGTGTTGAATTGTGAGTTGTTCATGACGTACTTATACGTAGGGTGAGCAAAAAAAGCCTGGGACTTGGGACGTTCCCCCCTGATTTTTTAACAGTCCTTAGTAGGGACGATGGTACCCCCCCCCCCCCCCCATGAGAATCCCTGTTAAGGACTGTTAGTAGTAAGGGTGAACATCCCAACCTGGGAGGAAGATCAGTTCAAGGTTGTCAAGCCCTAAACCAAATCCTAAACCCTAAACCCTAAACCCTAAACCCTAAACCCTAAACCCTAAACCCTAAACCCTAAACCCTAAACCCTAAACCCCTCCAGCCTCTCCTTAAGTGACAGCCTTGGCAGGATCTTATGCATACCAGTGCCCTCATACCTTTGCAGCCGCCCGTCCGCAAGACACGGCCCGGGGCATTCTTTCAAGGCTCGGTCGGCTCGGATCAGGGTCTTGGGGTTCAGGGCTCATGGGGTTTAGGCGGCCATCAGCTCCCAAACCCTATAAGTTTCGGGGGACTTCAAGGTTTTTTTTCTTCGAAGTGGCTCCACCAATCCCCCCCGCAACCCGATGGGTTTCGGCTCAGGGTGTGTCATGGGTCCCCTACGACCCCCCTCTATACTACCCTCCCTAGCTTCCCCCCCGCCCCTGAATGGCCTTAAATTAGGCTCTTAACTAGAGGGGGGGTAGTAGCCCTAAACCCTAAACCCTAAACCCTAAACCCTAAACCCTAAACCCTAAACCCTAAACCCTAGCGGGGCAGTAGGGGGAACCTAAGAGTGTTTGAGAGTGGCACTGTAAGGCTTCCAAGAGGCTGGCAACCTGGCTTTGGCACTGACCCTGTGACCTGGCAGCATGGACACAGTCAACTAGCAATTGCTTAAGAACCCCCAAAGAACAAAAAAAGTGATCCTCCTCATAAGGGCAATATCGGGGTTATTGTTTGTTTTTATATAATCTTTTGGGGTTCTTAAGCAAATAGTAGTCAACGAACTTTATCCTTTGTTATTGGCCTTAAATAGGCTCTTAGTTAGCCCTAAGCACCCTTAGTTCGGGGTGGGGAGGTCGTATACTTTGTCATAGTGGGGTAACATTTGACATTCTGTAAAGGGTACTTCAACTCAATAAGGAACAGAAGTTTCAATTTCTAATGCTATTCCAACCATACTAGTATCTTCAGGAGGTGTAGGAGGCTTAGGGAACTTGTGGATCCTCATCTTCATGAGGTTTGGGTAAGCTTTTGGGTTAAAAAAGCGCGTGAGTCACCAGCGGTTCGAAGCAGCTCTTAGTACTGGCTCGGATTCTCTGCCTGCAAACCCTAATCTAAGCGCATCTAAGCCCTACACCCTAAACCCTTCTCCAGCCGCAGGATCGTCATGTGCACGCAAGAGCCCATCTTCTACTGCCTGGGGACGCCGGAGTTCCAGTCCTCGCCTCAAGTTGACCAGCCACATCGTCAAGCTCCTACATCTCAACCCTAAACTGATCCAAAAGTTCCCTAAACCTCCTAAACCTCCTGAAGATACTAGTATGCTTGGGATCGTATCAAGAATTGAAGTTTCTGTTCCTTATTGAGCTGAACTCTCGAAACTTTAGCAAGCCAAGAGGAGCCTAAACCCTAAGCCACTGCAAGTCGCGCCCCATCTTAAAGATGCCACAGCTGATCCGCTAAGGGAGACCCTCTTCACCCCGTACTGTCCTGCGTCGCTGGACAAGAAGGAGATCTACTCACTTTTCTCAGGCACCCTTGTTGGAATCTAACAGGAAGGCGCAAGGCCCTTAGCCCAGCGAATGTGCAGGTATTGGCATCCTACTCTACTGGGCGTTGCTCATGGATTTCACCATTTTCTCGATGCGAATATCCGCCTTCGTGCCTTGGTAGGTCAGTGGTACCCTTTCCCCCTTTTTTTTTTGCTTTCAGGTTCCCTATTAGAAATTAGCCAACCCTTAAAAAAAGGGTGCCCTGATTATAAGATGGTTACTGGGGTACCAAGGTGCTGGTGTGTGGTCGCATCCTCGTCGAAGTTGGGCTTTTCTTGATCCCAAGCCGCAAGAGGCCACGCCGAGCCAAGATCTCCACAGGACCTACCTCCTTAGACAAACGCTGAATTGTAGGCCTAGCGGCACGGGCCGGCCCCCCGCCCAAGCACGAGTACGAAACCTCGAACCTTGCACTGTCCTCTCTTTCCCTTTTTCTTTGTCTTTTGTCTTTCTCGCTCTTTCCTCTCTTGCTCTCACTCTCTCTCTCTCTCTCCCTCCCTCCCTCTTTTTCTTTCTCTGTTTCCTCTTCTCTTTACCTGTTTGTTTTTTTTGTTTTTTCTCTCTCTCTCTCTCTCTCGTTCAGTTTCTCTTTTGCATTCTCTTTCTCTTTCTCCTCTCATTTCTGTTGCGCTTCCTTTTTTTCTCTTTATCTGTCTCTTTCTCTTCATCTTTCTCTTTCCCTTTCTTTTTATATTTCTCTTTATTTTTCTTTTTCTCTTTATCTTTCTTTTTGTTTGTCTCTGTCTCTGTCTCTCTTTCTCGATTTCGCTTTCTCTTGCTCTTTCTCTTTCTCTTTATCTTTCTTTGTCTCTTTCTCTCTCACCTTTCTTTGCTTCTTTCTTTCTCTTGCTGTTGGTCTTTATCTTTTTGTTTTTCTCTCTCTCTCTCCCTCTCCCTCTCCCTCCCCCTCCCCCTCTCTCTTTCTCTCTCTCTTTGTCTCTTCCTGTTCACCTTTCTCTTTCTCCTTGACCTGTTTTTTTGTTGTTTTTGTCTCTCTCTCTCTCTCTCTGTCTCTTTTTCCTCTCTCTCTCTCTCTCTTGTCACTTCTCTTACCCGTTCACCTTTCTCTTCTTAGTTCACCTCTGTCTGCGCGCACGCGCCTGCATCATGAGCATCACCGAGGTGGGTTGTCAATCACAACTCCGCCCAAACCCCCCTTAACGCGCTCACTGACAAATCTGAAAAACCCCAAAATCTAAGACTTTCCGCCCTAGGATGCACCCAGCTCCCATGGTCCTTGAAGTCGCGCGGTGCGGGGTGCGGGTTCCTCCACGGAAAAGCCGCCCCTACTCCATCCAACACAGAGTCGGCGGACCCTTTAGGCCCCTAAACCCTAAACCCTAAACCCTAAACCCTAAACCCTAAACCCTAAACCCTAAACCCTTCAAATCTCCAGCCCTCCCTGGCCCAAATCCCTATGGCCCAGTTGAAAGTGCTCGCTCTCAAAAGCAAAGCACCTGGTTTCTGCTTGGGGTCTAGGGTTTAGGGTTCATAGGGTTTAGGGTTAAGGGCTGAGGCTTTAGGGTGCGTTGTTTTGTCTATGACTCCTACATTCTGCCAGAGGTCTGTGATCATGATCGCCATTAGAAGAATATTATAGGCCCAGAAAATTACAGTACGAAAAATACACCCTAAATACACGGGAAAAAGGGGCGCTAAATACAATATTGCTACTCATGGGCTCTTTAGCGGCCTTCCTAGTCCCTAATATAGGGGTCGGGATGATTTGCTAATCGTATCCCATTATTTCGATTGGTTCCTTTATAATTAGACTATAATGAGCCCCAAAACCTTACTCTAATCCTAAACCCTAAACCCCTAAACCCCTAAACCCGAAACCCTAAACCCTAAACCCTAAACTAATTATTTAGGCGCCTAGATTTAAGCAAGCCCAGGATGGCTCTGACCTTCTTCATCCTCGCGTTTGCGACATCCATTAGCGCTCTGAGACATCAGCTAGAAGACTTCTCAGGCTGCCCCTTCCGTGCTTGGGGATTTGGGGTTTAGGGTTTAGGGTTTAGGGTTTAGGGCTTAGGGTTTAGGGTTTAGGGTGGGGACCCCGAAAGTAAGGACCCCAAAAAGGCACCACTCATCTCGGAAAGCTCCCAGTTGTTTCGGTTGGGCACATGTAATGGGCAAGAGGGTGGCTGAGCAGGTGAATGGCAGTACTGTCAACTTTTGCCCAACGTCACCTTGAACCCTAAGCCCTAAGCCCTAAGCCCTAAGCCCTAAGCCCTAAGCCCTAAGCCCTAAGCCCTAAGCCCTAAGCCCTAAGCCCTAAGCCCTAAGCCCGAAGCCTAAGCCCTAAGCCTTAAGCCCTAAGCCCTAAGCCCTAAGCCCTAAGCCCTAAGCCCTAAGCCCTAAGCCCTAAGCCCTAAGCCCTAAGCCCTAAGCCCTAAGCCCTAGCCCCAAACCCTAAACCCTAAACCCTAAACCCGAAGCCCAGCCTTGTGCATGGAGGCATTGACACTGGTATGGTCTCGCTCATGAGCATGGCCCTGAACATGTATCCAATGTCCGGATACGTCTACATCAAGGACCGCATCCGCTTACCCAGCATGTGCAGCCCAAGTTTGGCCTCCGGCTGTACTCCTATCTTCTGTTGGCCCTAGGAACTTAGTCTCTGTGTTTTGGCAGGTGTGCGACTTCCCACGATAACTTGGCACGAAGCCCCGCATCATGCCATGATGGTTTCCTAGCCTTCTGCACAGCCATGCAGTGAACCCGCTGGCAATCCCTAAACCCTATACCAGCCTAAACCCTAACCCTAAACCCTAAACCCTAAACCCTAAACCCTAAACCCTAAACCCAATGGCTGCTTCGGTCTCTACTAAGCTGCTGCAGAGGCGAACCATGAACTGCTTGCCGCGGCGAAGCAAATGGGGGTTTACGCAAATAAGGGACCCCCAAAATTTACCCACAAATACTAGGATTCCCTCATACTAAGGGTCCCAATAAGGTACCCCTAAACTCTAAACCCTAAACCCTAAACCCTACACCCTAAACCCCCAAATGCACGTTGAGTGAGCAAAGAGTCGACAGGACGAGGGCTGGGTGCTTGGAGCCGTGTGCTTTTTCATCATAATCATCTCGATCTTCTTGATGAACCTTGGACTGCGCCCCAGAGTACGTAGCCCTAAACCCTAAACCCCAAACCCCAAACCCTGAATCTTAAACCCTAAACCCTAACCCTAAACCCTAATGCGGGCTCGAGCCGTCTACCCCTGGGCTCTATGACGCACATGATAAGGAACCTCTTGATCGCACAGCTCAACCAAGCCTACCAGGCGCCGGGCCGTTGGGCCTAAACCTTAAACCCTAAACCCCAATTAAACCCTTGTTGTAGCCCTAAACCCTAAACCTTAAACCCTAAACCTTAAACCCTATACTAAACCCTATTAAAAACCTTGTTGTAGTACTTCTCGACGAAGAGAGGCGCCTCCAACACTCCTCTAAGGCTCCTAAACCCTAAACCCTAAACCCTAAACCCTAAACCCTAAACCCTTTTTTTCAGAGCTTTTAGAGAGCTTTGGGTTGTTGAGGCCGGGCTGGTCCATGGAGGAACAACTACGATTTGCGTTCAAAACCCACCCAAAGTTTAACGATAATCATCCCTAGACCACCTGTGTAAGGCAGAATCTTTTCTTGGGGGGGGGAACCCAAAATCCAAAACCAAAAGGGGTTTAGGGTTTAGGGTCTAGGGTTTAGGGTTTAGGGTTTAGGGTTTAGGGTTAACCTTCAACCCCCACACCCCTAATCCTAACCTTCGTCCCATGCAGGCGGTGTACGAAGACATGCAGGGCTTCGCCCGCTCGTTGCCCAGACTTCCTCTTGTATTTTAGGGTTTCTAGAATATTTGGGGTTTCTAGGGCTTGTAGGGTATTTAGGTTTTTTCTAGGGATTTAGGGATTTTCAGTTTTTTTGTTGGTTTCAGGGTTGGGTCTTGAGGGTTTTTCGGGCTTAGGGTGGGAAGGTTCACGACATCAGGACAGAGGCTGCGGACCCGGAAAGGACAGGGCCCTCATTAGATTTAGGGCTGGGCTCCCTTGTAAAAACACCTTTCAACAAAAAAGGTGTTTAGAGTTTGGGGGCCCAGGGCCTAGGGCTTTGGGATCTAGGAGGCTGCAAGGGGCATTTGGGGCTTCATGGCTCTGGGATCCAAGACCTTACGTTGTTTGTCGGGCGTTCTGAAATAGCTTCTTCGAGGCCTATCCGTGCAGAAGCCCAAGTGGAGGATTACAGGTGCCCTAATTCCTAAATCCCAAAACCCTGGTTGGTGTCCGAGTTGAGTATGCCGAACAGAGGCTTAGCACATTTCATCCATGATCCTCCAAGGTGATTTCGAAAGCTTACATTCGAATACCCCCCCCCCCCCCCCACACCCCCCCCCCCCCCCCACCCACACCCCCCCCCCCCCGCCCCACCCACCCCCGCCCCCCAAACAACTAATTATTCAGGCCCCCTAGAAGCAGGCTTGCGAGCCGGGCCAGGACCTTCCTAGCAAGGAGATGTAGAAGATGGAGTCTGCGCTCCGACCGCTGTGAAGTCCGTAGCTTCTGCTACCCGAAACTAGGGTTTAGGGTTTAGGGTTTAGGGTTCTACACCCTTACTGACAGTCAGATCCTCTTGTATGGTGCATCATGAGACTGGACTCTGAGTTATAGACCCCCTAAACCCTAAATCCTTAAATCCCAAACCCCCAAACCCTAAGTCCCTAAATCCCAAACCCCCCAAACTCCTTAAACCCCAAACCCCGAAACCCCTAAACCCCCCAAACTCCTTAAATCCCAAACTCCCACACCCCTAAACCCCTAAATCCTGAAATCCCAAACCCCCAAACCCCTAAACCCTATTACCCGAAACCCTAAACCCTGTAAGCTTGGTTGGATTTCGGCGTGCTGGAGGCCTGAACAGGGCGTCCGTCATCGTGCCGGGCCCTCAGCGTGCCCGGAGGGATCCGTGAAGCAAAAGGCGCTTGCAAGGTTTAGGGTTTAGGGTTTAGGGTTTAGGGTTTAGGGTTTAGGGTTTAGGGTTTAGGGTTTAGGGTTTAGGGTTTAGGGTGCTTTGTATGAATATTGAAGGGATCCTTACGATTTTAAAGGGCATGAGTTTAAATGAGGTTGAAAGGGATCCGTATGATTTTAAATGGGTGAGATTGTATGAAATTAAAGGGGATCCATACGATTTTAAGAGGATGAGTTTTTATGATTTTTAAAAGGGGCTCATATGATTTCTTCAAGGGGTCCACATGATTTTAAAAAGGGATGAGTTTATATGAATTTACAGGGGATCCATCTATTCCAACCAAGCCAGCCCGCAAAAAACAAAACATACTTCCGGGGGAGCGAACGTTTCATATCAAACGGCATTCGGGCAGCTGCTGGACTACCCCTTTGAAATTTGATTGCCTGGCCTCGGTACAAAAGCATTTCATAAGGACATCCTAGCTTTGGGGCTGGCCTGGAGACTTAAGATTTCAAGGCTCAGGCCTCAAGGTTTGTGTAGGAAGCCTCAGCCCTTAGGCCTCTGGATCCAAACCCAACTAGCCCGCAACAAATATATAATTCCGGGGGAGCAAACCGTTTATATTATACGGCATTGGGGAAGCTGCTGGACTACCCCTTTGAAATTTGATTGCCTGGCCTCGGTACAAAAGCACCTTATGAAGAAATGTTGGCTTTGGGGCTGGCCTGGAGACTTAAGATTTCACGGCCCGACAACCTCAGGCCTCAAGGCTTCAGGCATTAAGCCTTTGCTCAGGCTCAGATCTTTGGTCTCTCAGGCTCAGTTCAGAAGCGATTTCTAGGCAACAACTCTATTCGACAGCCTCGCCGAAATTTTGCATCGCCCTATTTTTTTTCACAATTCCGGGGGACCTCCTCAAATAGACCCCGCTGAATAATTGTCGGATTTGTTTTCACAATTCCGGGGGACCACACTGATCAGGATACAACATCAGTCAGCGAGTCTAAAACCGAAGCCCTTGCTCAGACCACAGTTTTCTGGGTTCCCGTACTCCCCCCCTGTATATTCTTTCCCCGAGATCCCCCCATAGTGGAGGGTAGTAGGGAAACCCCTAAACCCTAAACCCTAAACCCTAAACCCTAAACCCTAAACCCTAAACCCTAAACCCTAAACCCTAAACCCTAAACCCTAAACCCTAAACCCTTCATAGTTTGACGGATTAAGGGGGGGGCGAACTGAGGACCACCATAGAGGAGGTGAACTCAAAACGCTGGACTCTGAGAGAGATGGGAGGGCGCACTACGTACAACAGTATAATATGACATATATGTATATATATATGTATATATATATATACATATGGATTTATTTATGTACATTATATATATAGATATGTGTATGTGTGTATATATATACACATACATATACACATATGTAGGATACAGACGAAGGTGGCATGGCATCTCAGGTCATGTTGCTGGAGGGTGTTAACGCGCAGTTCCCTAAATGATGGTCCGTTTCTTGCTACGACTTGCTACTCCAAGTATAAGGGCCCTTATTGGAACAAGTACTATAGGGGTCGTAACGATTTTTTGATAGTGTGCCCTTATGGTCCCTAGACAGTTATACTATAACAACACCCGCAAAACCCTAGTCTAACTCTTAAGGTCCCTCTAGTACCTCAAATGGAGAGGGGCGTGGGCAAGACGCGGTTTAGGGTTTAGGGTTTGGGGCGGAAGACCCTCAGAGTTCCAACTGTTCTTCCCTAAACCCTAGCCCTAAACCCTAGCCCTAAACCTTAAACTCTGAAACCCAAGCTTGTTTCTCCACCCCCTGTGCCCCCAAGCCCTCGAAAAGAAGCTTCCTTCTTCGGTCGCCCTCGTGGGATATTTCAGCTTATCCGCTCTGGGCTTATGAGGAGGGTCCTATTTAGGATTATGATTGTCCCAAGGGTATACCCTAAACCCCAAACCCCAAACCCCAAACCCCAAACCCTAAACCCCAAACCCCAAACCCTAAACCCTAAACCCTAAACCCTAAACCCTAAAACCTAAACTCTAAACCCTAAACCCTAAACCCCAAACCCCAAACCCCAAACCCCAAACCCCAAACCCTAAACCCTAAACCCTAAACCCTAAACCCTAATTCCTAAACCCCAAACCCCAAACCCCAAACCCCAAACCCTAAACCCTAAACCCTAAACCCTAAACCCTAAACCCTAAACCCTAAACCCTAAACCCTAAACCCTAAACCCTAGGCTGGGGCCGGTTCCTCAAGAGCCTGAACTTCGAGTCGCCCCTCGAGTTCCAAGAGGGCGACATCGGCATGGCAGGCGCGGGTTTCAAGGGACACGGTTTAGGGTTTAGGGTTTAGGGTTTAGGGTTTAGGGTTTAGGGTTTAGGGACCCCTAAGGTTGTACCCCTAAAGGTTCCCCTTAATATACTCCTAATATGGCCCTTATATTCCCTTAGGGATCCTTAAAAAGGGATCCCAAAACCCAAGGGTACAACCTTAAGGGTCCAAAGTAGAACCCCTAGAGGGTTCAGTCAAAGGCCCAGGAAGCCACACCAAAGGGAGCCTAGGGTTGAGGGTTTAGGGTTTAGGGGTTTAGGGTTTAGGGTTTAAAGTTAGGGTTTAGGGTTTAGGGTTCTTGGGGCTAGAGGGGAGAAGTCTCTAAACCTAGAAGAATCTAAACAGTTGCGCACCTGGACTGGCTGTTGTGCTTTGGGGTCATGTTCGACCTGCTCATGCACATCCAGGCGTCTACAGGCTTCTAGCACCCCCCCCCCCCCCCCCCCCCCCCCCCCCCCCCCCCCCCCACGGAGAAAGGGTTTTAACAGAAGGGTCGGTTCCGCGACAACCCCCGCAGGGGCAAGGCCTTAATGCCCTAAATCTCAAACCCGACGCCGCTCGACAAGTTGTGACAAGGCTTTGAAACAAGCTGCAGCGACAAAGGGTTTTTAACAGGGGGTTCGGGGGTGACGATGAAACCTCCGACAAACAACATGACTTTTGTGCTGTATTCGGATTCAGGAGCATACCATAATCCCACACTAAAGATCAAAGCCGCCTAGGACCCAACCAAGAAGTATCCCTAAACTTTCAACCCCCGGAGAACCCACTGCCCAAAGCGAAGCCGCCAGGTGGCGTTCAGGTGGCGGAACCTGCAAACGTGTCGTGGTGGCATTTGGGGGTGTCCGAAGTTAGGGGTACCGTACTGGGGTCCTTATTTTAAGGGAATCCTACTATGAGGGGATATTGGGGGTCCCCTCTTTTCGCAAACTACCATTTGGGGCTGGCTGGTATGACATGACAGACCACGCCAGTTTCTTGGAGCTGAAGCCATGTCGGATTCATGTCGTGTGGGCGCTTTCTTATGAACTCAAAGGGCGCATATGTTTGCAGGAGGCAAGTAAGTTGGCATGTGCAGATGCACCTAAGCCCTAAATCCTAAACCCACCATGAACCCAACATGGCGTTGGCAAGGCGAATCCGACCACGGTTCGGACCTTAGTTTGATGTTGTCCTTGCAGTGGGCTTCTTCCTGGGACCCCGAAGCGAAGTACTTGAAACTGGCCAACCGCATGCGAAAAACGGGCCTGGGTCGTTAAGTGCTGTCGATCATTTAGAGGTCTGTGTGGGTCCTAAGCTTTTGTTAGGCTCGACGCCCCTAAATACGTAGTCTAAACAACCCTAAACCCTAAACCCTAAACCCCAAACCCTAAACCCTAAACCCTAAACCCTAAACCCCAAACGGCCCAAATCGAAGCCATGCTCCGCACGAATGTTCATCGTGACTTCGTTCCTTTGATGATCAATCTCAGCTTGTGTGCTGTCAAAGAGTTGAGAGGGCAACGTCACACGTACCTTGACCCGGTTTAGGGTTTAGGGTTTAGGGTTTAGGGTTGAGGGTTTAGGGTTTAGGGTTTAGGGCTACATCAGGTCGACCGGATCAAGCGCTTCGGTGGGTCAACCTCGCCGACTATGCCATGGCCAGAGGAGGAAGAGGACGCAGATGAAGACGCTTCGCTTCAGATAGGGTTTCGGGTTTCCTTTTTTGGGGGTTTCAAGGTGCCCTGAAACAAGTAACCTAGGTAGGCCTGGGGACATGTCATATATTTTCTTAGACGGTTCATTGTGCGTTTCAAGCAGGGTCATAAGAGCCCCCCAGAATGTTGCCACCCTGCGAATGACTACTCATGCCAGTTCTGAGACGGGAAAAAGAAAGGGAGGGTTTCGGGTAGCGCTCTCCCGGCGCTCGTCACCTCCTCCCCTTCATTTTTGTGCAGCTGAGGCCCAAAACCCTAAACCCTAAACCCTGCTGCCCTTAAACAAGGGTTTAGGGTCTAGGGTTTAGGGTTTAGGGTTTAGGGTTTAGCAACCTAGGTAGGCCCTTTGGACATGTCTTATTTTCCCTCATTAGGTTTAAGAGCATCATACTCAGGAATATCTTTCAGAGGGTGTTCAGGACCATCCTGGAAAGCAACCCCCAAGCAGGGTACCCTGATTCTAACATGGCTACTTCTACCAAGCCAAGACCCTTTCGCCCTTGAAAACAGCCGCTGATCTTGGGGATACTTGGGATTGTTTTTTGAGTTTGGGGCACTGTAACTCCTTAGAAACCCTAAACCCTAAACCCTAAACCCTAAACCCTAAACCAGCATCGTGATCACGAACTTTTCCACCACGCTTGGGCCAAGGATCGTTACGATCGACTCGAGAAGCTGACGCTTGGTTGTTCATTAGGGTCGGGGATTTAGGGTTTAGGGTTTAGGGTTTAGGGTTCAGGGTTTTGGGGTTTAGGGTTTAGGGTTCAGGGTTTTGGGGTTTAGGGTTTAAGGCTTAGGCTCATAGGGTTCGGGGGTTTCAGGTTGAGGATTTGGAGTTTGAGGCTTGGAGTGTACTTGCATACTTGAAGGCTGAAGGTTATTTCCCATGAGCCTCCAGGTAGAGGCTTAGGGGTCTCGAGCATTGAGATGCATTGGGCTTCCAGGTTGAATATGGTAATATTGAGGATTCAGGGTTTAGTATTTTGGGTAGTCGGGTTTGGCGAGCCAGGATAAGGGGTCCTGGTGGAAGATGATTGAGTTGTACTTCTTTTTGGGGGTTTGTCTGCGAAGTAGGGCAGCAGTCTTCGAGCACAGACAGAGGAACTTAGTTGTCAAGACACACTGCTGTGGGTAAAAGTTGGGTGCCGGAGAACCCTATCTCGTGATTGCAGAGTCTGCTCTAAACCCCCAAAACCCAAATCCTAAAACTTTGGGATACTTGGAAATATTTTGCAATTTTTGGGTACCTTCATTCCTAAGAAAAAGCAAACATCACAGAATTCTTGCTGGGGTCTCCAAGTTGACTATAGAAGCTCTGTACTAAGGATCATTCGGACGACGAAGAACATCACCGGCAAAAAGAAGAGGGGGACCGGCGCTAGCTCCTCCATGGGGGCCTCCGGCGCCACAGGCGCTCAGATTTTTACCCTAAACCCTAAACCCTAAGGAGGTTGGGGTTTTGGGGCTTTGAGGTTTTGGGGGTTTGTGGGGTTTTGGGGTTTTGGGTTTTGGGGTTTTGGGGTTTTGGGGTTTTGGGGGTTTTTGGGGTTTTGGGATTTTGGGGTTTTGGGGTTTTGGGGTTTTGGGGTGCTTGGGGTTTTGGGTCTTGGGGTTTTGGTGGTTTTGGGGGTCTTGGGGTTTTGGGGTTTTGGGGTTGTGGGGTTGTGGGGTTGTGGGGTTGTGGGGTTTTGGGGTTGTGGGGTTTTGGGGTTTTGGGGTTTTGGGGTTTTGAGTTCTTGGGGTTTTGGGGTTTGGGTGCACATGGGTACACAAGCTCTGCTTTCCGAGCCTTTGCCCCACTCGAAAAGCCAGCATGGATAAACATGCATAGGCTGCCGAAGGCAGCAAACCCTATTCCCTAAACCCTACACCCTAAACCCTACACCCTAAACCCTAAACCCTAAACCCTAAACCCTAAACCCTAAACCCTAAACCCTAAACCCTAAACCCATGCTAGGCGACAGCGCCGGCCGAAGTGGCTCGTCACAGGGCTCTGCAAGCGCGGATTGATGAGGCCGGGTCGACGGGCGATAGTCTTGTCTGCGTATATGGGGGTTTAGGGTTTAGAGTTTAGGGTTTAGGGTTTAGGGAAATAAAAAACCCCCAAGTAGTCGGATTCTCTTATAGTCCAAACACCCCTAATTTCGCAAACGCCTCAGATTATTAGACCATTGCCTGATTAGATCTGTGGTTAGAGAAGCTTCTTCATCATGGGTAGTTTCAGGGTGAAAGGTGACGGGCCGAATCCACTCGTCAATGTGGCGATGTGGCTGCGCACCTTAGTTTGCGTCTTCCCGTGCCATACCGTCCTACCCAATACTGCCCAGAGTTCATGTCCCTGCCGTCCCTCGAGCTCACGGTGGACTTCATTGTGAGTTGACAGTGTGCGCAACATTGGCCCCTACTAGCATCTACCCGAAAGCCGAGTGTGTTGAGTATCGAAGGTTTGCATGCCTTCTAGTGGCGGGCCCCCATGGGATGCTTGTAGCCAGGCAGCACATGTCGGGGCTTCCGAAATTCGGTGGTACCTTTTTGGGGTCCTCATGATAAAGGAATCCTACTCTTTTGGGGGTCCCCGATTTTCGTAAACTCCCCCGCCATTCGGTGATTTGCTGGCCCTGCAGGTTGAGCAGAGCAGCAGATGCCCAGAACTTTTCAGGGGGAAGGCTGGGACCTGCTTTCTTTCTAAACCCTAAACCCTAAACCCGAAACCCTAAACCCTAAACCCTAAACCCTAAACCCCGGAGACGGGAGGCACAGGGCAGGCCCTGGCTCTTCCCCTGCCCTTCGCCCTTAGCGGCCCAAGCGCATGGAAAATGTCCACGCAGCACTGTTCGGTCCAAACTTTTTGCTCCTGGCACGTATGGTGCTGATCGTGTGGGTTTAGGGTTTAGGGTTTGGGGTTTAGGGTTTGGGGTTTGGGGATTCAGGTGGTGCTACCGCAGTGTGTGCACGAAACTAAGCAGTGGACTTGTTCAGTCCGAAGCCATACAGTCCTGCTTCTTAGCCAAGAAGAGTTGCCATGGAAGGGAGAGCAGTGTTCGGGGGGGAAGTGAGACCCCCGGCCTTCCGCCCACAGTGCGGAACTGCTCTCGGGCAACGGAGCAGGTTTTAAGGGCCGGCCAGGCGACCCGTCGTGCGGCGACCCTTGATCTCCACACTCTGTTCTCAGGGCATTCCCGAAATTGGAGGGGAGTGGAGAAGTTGGCTCTGGACCGTAGGGGCGGCTTTCTAATCCCTGAAATTGCAACCTCGAATTTCGGGACTGTTCAGAAGATCTGCACCCAGAAATGCCCAGGAAACACCGGAAGTCCTGCAGCACTGCAGCATTCTGCAGCAACCTTTGGCTGGAAGACTTTATACATTGACTGTACGCTGTCAATTTTGCCTTGTGGTTCAGCTCGAGAAGCGAAGGGAGCTCCTGTGTCCGGGGGGGCCGTTCTCCCAGGCAAAAGACATGCCTGATTCTGTCTCACTCGTTGGTGCCAAATCACGCAAGGCACGTGAAGCAGGAAGTTGCAAAACGCAAGGCTGGAAGATGTCGAAGGCTCTTACCAGAGCAGCACCTGGAGACCAAACAAGTCTTGGTTTCAATGACCGGGGCTGCAGTCCCAAATTAATTCTATGCGAGGCCATGGGACTTCACTACAGTTTCATGCATGTTTCCTACTAGTTAAGGGTAGTTACTACTAATCTGTAGGCAAAGATCGAGTCCCAGGTAAGCCCTATAAGCCCTAAGCCAATGCGCAAGTTGCATGACCCGTGTCTTTCCCATGCAAAGGCCCCTCAAGGGGGCCCGCTGTACTTAGCAAAAAGGCTGAGGATGAAGACCATGCCACGATTCGCCACGCCAAGCATGTGGCCGATCTACCCTGCTTTTTTTAGACCCTAAACCCTAGACCCTAAACCCTAAACCCTAAACCCCTATGAGGACTTAACAAATCTCATCAGGCTGTCGAGTTGCGACACTCCTCGGGCCTACAGCTCCAGCACCGATCTCGGAGCTGTAAGCGAACAGCTGTGGCGCGGCCGTGGTCCACCCAAATGGGCAGGGCAAAACTACTCTCGGGCTTCAGTGCAAGCAAGCAAAACAGATTTGCCGCGTGGCGAGGGGGCTGTACCCTAAACCCTAAACCCTAAACCCCAAACCCTAAACCCTAAACCCCAAACCCTAAACCCTATATAAACCCTCAACGTTCATCTGCACCTTTTTTCGGAAATCTTGGGTCCCAACAATCGAGGCATGCACAAGTCTGCTGCCGCAGTGGCTACTTTCCCGAACATTCTGGCCGGACATGTTCGTAGCCATTTGAGAAGCAAAAGACTGCTTGGGGTGTCTTAGGGCTTGGGGGTTAGGGGTTGAGCTCTCTCCCTCTCTCTCCCTCGTCTTTCCGCTCTCTCTTCTCTTTCTCGCCTCTCTTCTTCTCTCTCTCTCTCTCACAAACCTTTTCTCCGCTTCTGGGAGTGGACTCAGATTACAAGATTGAGAAGCCGCCAAGCGTCAAAACTAGCACTACTCACCAATGAACACTGTAGCGGAACACTGGCCTCCGGATGACGGATAGCCCATGTGGAATGATCCTAGAGAACCTTTTGCCATGGGAGTGGGTGTCGTTTGCCCTTTTGCTGGCAGCGCTGGTGCCGCTGCTGCTCTACAGGCGGCCTGCATATCCGTGTGTCTTTCGGCTCAACACGGTTTAGGGCTTGTTTAGACTTGGGGTTGGCTGGGGGGTCACAAATATTTTGGTCGGGTCGCGCACGTCATGCATTTTTCTATCAGCAGAGCCATGAGGGTTGTCAAGAGGCTTTGAATTCAGGGTTTAGGGTTCAGTGTTTCTTTTTGCTTTTTTGAACTTTAGAGACGGTGTTTGTAGGATTGTAGGGGAAAGCGGCCCAATTCCTGACCCAAACCCTAGAAACCCCATATGCTCAACCCTGAACCTGAAACCCGCTGCCCAAGTACCCCTGAACCCTAAGCTTTCTGCATCTACAGCGTTTAGGGTTTAGGGTTCAGCAGCTCTGGGTCGAGCAATCTCTAGTAGAGCCGCTGTCTGGACTCTAGAAAAAAACCCACCCACCCAGAGAATCCCAAAACATTAAGAAATATAAAGTTCAAATTTTTCCTCAGCAAGCCCTGTCCTCCAACCTCATTTATTCATTCTGCTCGTGTTCTTTGTCATTCTTCTTGGTTTCCATTCTGCTCGTATGCGTTTCTTTCTGCTCGTATTCATTCTGCTCGTATTCGTTCTTTTTCTGATCTGCTCGTCTCGTGTTCGTTCTCGTTCTGCTCGTATTCATTCTGCTCGTATTCGTTCTCTCTCTGCTCGCTGCTCGATTTCAGTCCGCTCGTTTTCGTTGTTTTTCTTCTCGTATTCATTCTGTTCGTATTCGTTCTCTCTCGCTGCTCGATTTCAGTCTGCTCGTACTCATTCTCTTTCTGCTCGTATTCATTCTGCTCGTATTCGTTCTCTCCCTGCTCGATGTCAGTCTGCTCGTGTTCGTTCTCTTTCTGCTGATATACACTTTGCTCGTGTTCGTTTTCCCCGATGACCCTGCCTATTTTTGGCCGTCTTGTTGGTTGTGTTTGGCACACTTTAAGCCTTTAAGCTGCCTGGCTTCCACATGGTTGCTTTCCAATTAGTGCCCCGGTGACCTCGCCTCATGTTGGCTCCTGCTCGTAGGGTTTGATGAGAGGCCGAGAGGTTTGTCGTATGCCCCCTCTCTTCGTGCTCGTAGGGTTTGTCGTATGTCCCTCCCTTCATGCTCGTAGGGTTTGATGAGAGGTCTACAGGTTTGTCGTACGTCCCCTCCCTTCGTGCTCTTAGATTTTGTCGTATGTCGCCTCCCTTCTTGCTCGTCGGCTTTGTCGTATGTCCCTCTTCGTCTGCTTGCAGAGAATCCCAAAACATTGAGAAATGTACGGGTTTATTTTAGAGGTTTGTCGTATGTCCCCTCCCTTCGTGCTCGTAGGGTTTGACGAGAGGTCTACAGGTTTGTCGTACGCCCTCTTCCTTCGTGCTCTTAGGGTTTGTCGTATGCCTCCCTTCGTGCTCGTAGGGTTTGTCGTATGTCCCCTCCCTTCGTGCTCGCATGGTTTGATGAAAGGTCTACAGATTCGTCGCATGTCCCTTCCCCTCGCGCTCTTAGGGTTTGTCGTATGTCCCCTCCCTTCGTGCTCGTCGGCTTTGTCGCATGTCCCTTGTCTTCGCGCTTGCTTTCCCCAGACCGAAGGTAGAACCAAAAGTGTTGGTCCGGATTGATAAAAAAATCTAATTTTGTTAACCTCATGTTTTGTTTTCCCCCACCCCACCCTCGAACCATTCCAGTTCGAGCCAATCCCCAACCCACCCTAGAACCAACTACCCGTATTCGTTCTCTCTCTGCTCGTATTTCTCTGCTCGTCTTCGTTCTGCTTGCGTTCGTTCTCGGAGTGGGGGGGGGGTGGGGTGGGGGGGGGGGGGGGGGTGCGGGGGGGGGTGGGGGGGGGGGGGGGGGGTGGGGGGGGTGGCGGGGGGGGGTGGGGGGGGGTGGGGGGGGGGGGGGGGGGTGGGGGGGGGTGGGGTGGTGCCTGCCCAACCTTAATGGGAACGTGGCCATTGTCAAAAAAGCCGTGGCCATTGGCAAAAAGCCCGAAAAGTTGCCAATGCCCACGGCTTTTTTGCCAATGGCCACGTTCCCCATTAAGGTTGGGGGGCATTTTGTGCGAATTGGGTTTGAAAAACCCATTTTGGCGACCAACCTTAATGCAAAAAAGCCGTGGCCATTGGCAACTTTCCCGTGGCCATTGGCGAATTTGCCAATGGCCACGGCTTTTTTGCCAATGGCCACGGTTTTTTTGCCAATGGCCACGGTTTTTTTGCCAATGGCCACGGTTTTTTTGCCAATGGCCACGTTCCCCATTAAGGTTTAAATTATTATATGATAGAGAGAGTTTCGGGTTTAGGGTTTAGGGTTTAGCACCCTAAACCCTGAACCCAGCAAACCCCAACCCCTACGGCCCTACGATCCCGGAGGCGCGGCTTTTGGCAGCACTGGGACAACCGGGAGCCTGCCAAGGCTGGGGCTCTGAGAGGTTCTGTGAGATTCTGAAGGGTTTAGGGTTTAGGGTTTAGGGTTTATAGGGTTTAGGGTTTAGGGTTTAGGGTTTAGGGTTTAGGGTTTAGGGTTTACCCCTTAACCCGAAACCCTAAACCCTAAACCCTAAACCCTTCAGCTCAGTCTGAGGCCTGAACTCGAACTGGAGAGTTGCCACGCTTTAAGCGATGTCTTGCTGTACTTTTAGCCGATGCATCCCTCAAACTCGATCCGATGACTTCGGGTCGAAACTCTATCATACCGTGCGCTATCATCCTCAACCCCAGGCCCTTGAAATTAGCATAAGTTTCTGCAGCACCCGAAACCCTAAACCCTAAACCCCAAAGCCTAAACCCTAAACCCTAAACCCTAAACCCCAGTCTTCAGAGACCCAGTTGAAAAAAGGAATGCCCACCCTCTGAAGTTGGGATCCTCGCCGCTTTCTCTTTGGGTTGCACCTTCGAAGGTTGAGGCTCTGGAGTCGATGGGTTTTTTGGGTTTAGGGTTTAGGGTTTAGGGTTTAGGGTTTAGGGTTTAGGGTTTAGGGCCTTTAGGGTTTAGGGTTTAGGGCCTTTAGGGCCTTTAGGGTTTAGGGTTTAGGGTTGGAAGTTCAAGGCTTTTAGGGAGCCTTTTCAGGGTTTAGAGTTGAAGGCTTCAAAGACTCAAGACACCGTTCTAAACAACAGCTCAGACGTCCGACTCGAATCCGAGGGCCGTGGTCGCGGCTGGCAGATCTGGCGAAGTCAGCTTGGAGGCGCGCGCTACGTGCTGGCTCCTATGGCTCCATGGCCTTCAACACGCAGGAGGCTTCTGTTCGGTTCATGGCATCAGAGACACGAGCCAGTTTTCCCAGAGTGGGCAGAATGCAGACAGGTTCAGTCTGAACTCTACATGCAACGCTCAAATTTCGTATTCTGGTCTGGACGACTGCATGAAATGGACGATCAAGACTTTGACTCATGGTTGATGGGAGGGTGTATGTATCTGTGAGGTCACAGTCACTCTGCAGACATGATGAAACTTATTCGAGCCTGGTATCTCAACTTGGGGGGTTACTCGTGTTGGACCAACCTCAGGTCAATGGCTCTGAGTTGCCATTCCGCTTGCTCGTGCGGCGCCTGAACGCGGGGGCTGTGCGGCCACCCGCCTGGGTCAGGCAGGAGCCAGGAGAGGTCTAAGGCATGCTCAGTTCGATGAGAGAAAAGTAAGCTGGGGCATGGAGTTCGGCTCCAGGCTGTCTGGTGCAAGGCTTGGGCATTGACTTAGCTGGCCTCGCGGTGATGGTTGAGGCCGCTCAAATCCCACGCCCTGATGCCCAAAGTTGAACCGACAGGAACAAAAACCAACTCCTGGTGCGCAGTGCTGCTCATCATTCCCTAAGTAGGCCCTTGGGGACATTTTGTCTTTTTCCCTTATTGGGCTTAGCAGGATCATCTTCGGGAATGTCTTTCAGAGGGTTTGTAAGGGGCCATCCTCGTTCCGCGTGCATTGCGCCTTGTTGAAGAAAACTCCCCTGCACTATCAGGCAAGACTCTTGGGCATGTCCCCGAAAGCGCACAATGCTGCCTGCGCAAGTCATCAAGCCTAAACACTAAACCCGAAACCCCGAACCCTAAACCCTAAACCCTAAACCCTAAACCCTAAACCCTAAACCCTAAGCCGTCAGCCCGCGGAACTCAGGCTGTGCTACTCCCCGATGTTGTACTGCAGCAAAGTACTGCAGGCCGTTTGGGCTGGTGGCTTTGGGGGGGTGGCTCATGAGGTAGCGTTTAGGGTTTAGGGTTTAGGGTTTAGGGTTTAGGGTTTAGGGTTTAGGGTTTAGGGTTTAGGGTTTAGGGACCCCACGGCCCAGGTGGTCAGTTCTCACATGTTGGCCCCCTTTTGGAGTTCCTGAGCCCCTGGTGACAAACCCTAAACCTATTCCGGAGCCGGGAGGACGCCTCGGATGGAATGCTGCGACAGCATTTTCTGATCGAATCGGACGAGGAGCTCGACTCTGAGGGCTTTTGTGGGATCTGAGACATTAGGAGTTATGCGATTTCCCTACATCATGCTTCTGGGAGGGGCAGCCTAGACACATGGGGCCCGTAGTTTCATGGGGATCAGAAAGCGACCATGTCGAGAACTGATCATGCAGTTGCCGATCGGTGGGGGGAAAGTGGGGAGGGTGGGGGGGGGGGGGGGCGAGCCCTGCTTCAAAGTACGACAAGTCCCCCCCCCCCCCCCGGCCCGACAAAGAAAAAACAAAATCCCAAGACTTATTATGATTTAAGCAGGGCCTCTGTGTTTGCCATGGGGCTGCGCATAAACTCACAACCCCCAAAGGGAAGCAGCCAGCCCAACCCTAAGCTCAGGCTTAAACTGATCAAAACTGATGAAAAACTTTGGCTAAGCTGGCTAAAGTTAGCTAAGGTGAGTTAGTTAGCAGTGCTTCAAATGGATGAAGTGTGAGTAGCACGACTGTACTTTTGATAGTACTAGTTAGAGTTGCAAAAAAGGCCCAGAATAGATGAAGATTAGTTCAGCGTAGTTTACAGTAGTTATATACTCTTGACCAACTTTGTATCTGAAGATTTCCAAAAGCATTCAGATTGCCTACATGCAAATGGCAGAAAGTACTTGGAACCAATCAGAACTCGTTAAACTTGATGGCGAAGGATGAAAGTTATGTCAAGCAAACAAAATCGTTGATATTTAACCACGCGTAGTTAACAAAATTAGTGAAGTTTAGTCACTTCACTATGCTTATTCAGGACTACTTGAACTTCAGAAAACTCATCAAAAGTTCATGAAGCAAGAAACAACCACTTGTGACTCATTTAAACTTAACGTTCATTGGAAGTTCATTTTTGTTGGACACTGATTAATCAGCAATCATGAAAGCTCCCGCACGAAACTGTTTAAAAGGGCTGCAGCTAATTTCCTTTGAGTGAACTTAGTTAATAGCAAAGGACGAAACAGACATATATATATATATTATATAGATATAATATGTATTGAAGTGAGGGAAATATAACTGATGAAACATGGGTGAGTGTTCTCAGTTGATTCGAAAAATCAGCCCAACTACTGAACATTCATGCAAGCCAAGTAAGATTATGTAGAATCCCGGACTTGGCGTTGATGAAAGTTGATTGACGTTGACCCAAAAACCCTAAAACCCTAAAGCCCTAAAACCCCAAAACCCCAAAACCCTAAAACCCTAAAACCCTGAACCCTAAAACCTGAAGAAGCAGGACCGGCCGCTGATAGTACAGCTGGCCTCGAATAGCCCAGAGGACTCCACGGGGTTCTTCCTTGGACGGTTTGGGACTGGTTAGGCGAGCCTTTCAAAGCGATAGCTTGGCGAAATTTGAGGGGTTTGGGTTTAGGGTTTAGGGTTTAGGGTTAGGGTTTAGGGTTTAGGGATAGAGGCCATAACTACTCGACGTCAAGCGAAACCTTGGGAGGAACTCGCGGCTGCTGCGAAGACCGTGGCACCGTTCTGCCACTGGCCTTGTGTGGCTTCTCGGGTCCAGAGTTACCTGGGGGCTAGGGTTTAGGGTTTAGGGTTTAGGGGCTAGGGTTTAGGGTTTAGGGTCTAGGGTTTAGGGTTAGGGTTTAGGGTTTAGGGTTTAGGGTTTAGGGTTTAGGGTTTAGGGTTTAGGGTTTAGGGTTTAGGGTTTAGGGTTTAGAGTTTAGGGTTTAGGGTCCTTGTCCGGGGTTTCCATTTTACAAAGGGGATTCTTATCAACGCTCGATAAGGGGGCCCTGTCACTTGAAGCCCAACACGTTGGCTTTGCCTGCCATGCGTCTTGCAGTTGTTGTGTGCCCATCCGGAAAGGTGATGGTGTTTGCCTGAATCTGGGCTGCCCGCAGTGGTTTGCAGAGCGTGCCGAACTCAGAAAGGCCAGGCCATGTAATACAAGGGCCTTGTTTAGGGTTTAGGGTTTAGGGCTTATATCGCGGCCTGAATAATTAGAAAAGGGTTTTGGGGCTTATTGTAGCATAATTAGAACGGAACCCTAAGGGAGTACCATCAGTACTTATTCCGACCCTTGTGTCAGGGCACAAGACTGGGCCCTTTGTCACTTTGTCGGCGCACAGCAACTCGCAACCCTAGGGGGTCCTAAACCGCCTGTTGAGGGTTTTAGGGTTTAGGGTTTCGGGTTTGGGGTTAAGGGTTTAGGGTTGCCAAGGTTAGCGTGTGGTTTTTAGTGCCCTTTTGGGCGGATATAGTGAGTGCCCCAGGGCCCTTTCAAGTAACCAGGGAGAGTGACCCTGTTGTTAGGGATGTTCGGGGTTTTCTTAGGTATCCTTGGAAATAATTTTGAACATTTGGGTACTGTAATTCCTAAGATACACAGGGTTCCAAGTTCAGTACAGTTTAGGGGGCCAGGACCCTAAAACCCCGCCCCCAAGTCAAAAATGAAGGGGCGTGCACAAACACCGCACGAACGCTGACACACACCCAAAACCCCAAACCCTCAACCCTCAACCCTAAACCTCAAACCCGAAACCTAAACCCCAAGCCCTAAACCCTAAAACCTTCTTCGCCGTGCAACCCGTGAACCAGACTCAGGCTGTCAGCTGGGCGCCTTCTTGTTGGAGAAGGCCCAAAGTGGGCCAGGGCAGAACATCATAATCTCACAGTAAAAACGATATCACAATGTCACAATGTGACAAGATCACAAGATCGCAACATCATGATATCCCAATATCCTACTATTCTTACATAACTCATATCGGAATAGGGTAATATCATACTATCATAGCATAGCAGTACAAGAGTCGTTAAGGATGCCCGTTAGCGCAGGGGAGCCGAAGGAGCGGCCCCCCAGCCCCCCGCAAAAGTTGTTGCCTGGGGTTTGGAGGCTTGCCCTAAGGCTCCAAATAGCCCAAAGTAGGTACGATTTACAGACTTTAGACCCCAATGTAGGTATTATTTATATACTTGGAGCCCATAGGGTTGGGGAGGGGGGAGTTAAGGTTTAGGGCTTGGGGTTTTGGGGTTTGAGGTTTCGGGTCTAGGGTTTTCATGGTTTGGGGCCCCAATTCCTGGGACACTTGCAGCCCCGATCTCCTAAGGTGCCCTAAGCTGCGCAATCCTGAGTCCCTCCTCTCAAGCCTACAGAAGCCCAGCCAACTGTTGTGGACTCCTGCTACAACTAGGGCTCAGGCATGTATAGGATTTTCAGGGTTTAGGGTTTAGGGTCTAGGGTTTAGGGTCTAGTTTTGGGATTTCAGGGCGTTGCCATGAGCTGCCCCAGAGTATCCCGAATGCTCAAGACCTTGCGGTTCTGGAGTTCCACATTCGAAGATCCCCAAACATCCTCAGTAGTTTGGTTTTAGTGCTTTGCTTTTATACTGTACGATGATCGTATTACACTAGTGTGTTGTTATGGTGTGACATTTTGAATGCCTCTTATGTTATGATGGTTCTCTGATTTGAAAGTGTTGTTATTTAATCTTGCTACCCTATGTTCATGCTGTTCTGTGATTGTGTTATTGCATGTGCTGTTAATTTTGGCATGCCATTGTTGCTTATCGTTTTGCATCTTACACTATTGTCATATTGTTATCCTGTTCTATTGTTGTATCAATGTATCTTCATAATGCTGTATTCTCATATCGTTTTTAGTTTCATTAAACTGCTATATGCTCCTACATGATTTTGAAACTGCCATATTGTCATATTATGTATGTATTGGTACATGTTATCACGCGTCTAGTAATACTCCCTTGTGGTCCATATTTAACCCCTAAACCTCATATTCACTTCGCCAAATCGTCCACTCAGCCCGGCCTTTGCGCTGAGCTGGTCCGCGCGCTTGCGATGGCCGTGGGACAGGAGCTGCCGGGACTTGTGGATGAGGAGGGTTTGGGGTTTAGGGTTTAGGGTTTACGGTTCGGGTTTAGGGTTTAGGGTTTAGGGTTCAGGGTTTAATCAAGGTGCAGGTTTCAAGGCTGCACGGTTATGAAGCTGCAACGCTTAGGGATTGGAAAGCGAGTGCATGGCGATGTATGAGACTTTATGCTCTGCTCCAAGTGTTTTGTTGCCTTTTCTGGGCCCACGCTTTGCAGACCCGATGCTCATTCACAAATGCAGCCTGTACCCTAAAGCCCTCGCCTTAAGCCGAGTCATGACCATGCATGACTCTACAACCTAGACCTAGACCAGTTTGCAGTGTATGGTGCAACCTCAGGAAAGCTGTGTGCTGCAAGTGGCTTGGATGCGAAGGCTATGGCGTGTAGAATCCAAGACCTTCATGTACAACAAAAGGATCGAGTTTGGGCGGAGTCGGCGAAAGCTTAACAGAACTGCGTAGCGGCGTAGCCTTGCTGCTCATGCTGGCAAAGGATTCTTCTCCTGGATGGTGAGACGTCGAAAGAACGTCAGGCCTGGCCAGTAGTTGCTAAAAAAGCATTATGACTTCCACTCTCCCTCCCTCACTCCCCTTCTGGCTCGCCTCTGTTCGTATATGTATGCATGTATAGTTGTGTATGCATGCAGAGACCCCGGGAAGTGGGTCTGCATGTCGTCTCCCCCCCCGAAGCTCAAATTTGAGGTCCGAATTCGCCGCCTTGGTTTGGGGTTTAGGGTTTAGGGTTTAGGGTTTAGGGTTTAGGGTTTAGGGTTTAGGGTTCTCAGATTCGGCGCCTACATTTCGGCCCGGCAGCCGGCTCACAATCGCGGCTCGCCGGAGCCTGACGCCTGCAATGCCAAGTTCGGCACTTTCTAGTAACTTTGCGGAACCTCACGTTTGCATTGGCTTCCGATCTTCCCTTCCCGTGAGGGGTCTTCCTTCCGTCTAGCGGCCATCACTTCCAACAAGACGCTTTGTCGTCCCTTAAGGGGCGTTCTTGTCCCATGGATTATCGCTTTTGGGACCGAACTTTGTACTCGGGCTGAATCGTCGTCGGGGGCCGACCGAGTTTCGTCTTCGGACCAAATTTCTTCCTCGGTGCCGAATTTCGCCTCCGGGGCCGAAATTCGCCTCTGGTGCCGAATGGCGTCCTTGGGGGCCGAATATCGTCTGGGGCCGAGTTTTGTCTTCGAGCACTTCATGCCCAGATTTCCTCTGCAGCGTTGTGTCGTCTTCACGCGCAATTTGAAAACATGCCTCGAAGTCCCAGCGACCATCGACGCTCGCGTGCAAGTATAGAACCTCCTCCTGAAGGGTCTTGGAAACCCGAAGGATGGAGGGTCTTAGGATTTAGGGTTTAGGAATTAGGGTTTCGGGTTTAGGGTTTAGGGGTTCTAGACGACCCCCACTCTGACTAAGCTCTCAGGGTTTAGGGCTGACTCACTTCAGCAAGAAACCGAACGGGCTTAGGGTTCATAGGGTTTAGTCTTTTTGTAGTTGGGTAGTTCGGGTGAGGTGGGTGCATGCACGCTCTAGTTGCAGGGTACCACACAAAGCATCCATAATTTAGAGAACTCAAAGCCCAACAACACGCGCAGCATTTGTGCTTGCCAGATGTCCCTTAGCTCATCACATCCTGCGGCGTGCTTGGGAAGCTTGCGCGATGCTCCGTGTTCGGCTGCTCTCGGGGGAAGAGCTGGCGATAGTGCCCCAGGAGGATGAGATCATCGATGTGAAGGGGTTGAAGCAGCACCTACATCAACTCCACGGCATGCCCCCACGCTTCCGGCAGAGGCTACTTCTCCGTGGCCGGATCTTGGATGATGCTACGAAGTTAGACTTCCCTATGGAGCTGGAGCTTGTTCTGCTTTCGTATTGCAAAAGCACGCAGACGGAGGAACTCGTTTCCGCCGGATCTCGTGGCTCTGTGGCGGAGGTCAGGAGCCGGAGCAAGAAATGTACTCACGGAACTATCACAGATCAATGGGTTGTTTCTCAAGTTGGGAAGATGCCATATTGCTGTTTTGGTTTCTCCTCCCCCCCCCCCCCCTGCAGGTTGAGACGGTGCTACAGCATCCCACAGACCCGGACGTGACGGACAACACTGGTCAGACAGCCCTCATGGTAGCCTCGCAGCATGGCCACGAACGTATTCTGCGTTTGTTGCTTGAGGCCGGTGCTCACGTCGACTTGGCAGACAAGAATGCTGGCACAGCTCTGCTGTTGGCATCGCTCAACGGCCACATTGAGGTCGTGCGTTTGCTGCTTGAGGCAGGTGCTCACGTCGACTTGGCCGAAGACACCAACGGCATCACAGCTCTGATGGTGGCATCGCTGAAGGGCCAGATTGAGATGGTGCGTTTGTTGCTTGAGTTCGGTGCTCAAGTCGACTTGGCGAACAGCAATGGTGGCACGGCTCTGATGGTTGCATCGCATAACGGCCATGTTGAGGTCGTGCGATTGCTGCGTGAGTCTGGTGCTCACATAAACTCGGCCGAGAAGAATGGTGTCACATGTCTGGCAATGGCATCACACAGCGGCCACGTTGAGGTCGTTCGTTTGTTGCTTGAGGCCGGTGCTCATGTCAACTTGGCCAACAATGCCGGTGGCACGGCTTTGATGAGCGCCTCTCAGAACGGCCACGTTGCGGTCGTGCGTCTGTTGCTTGAGGCCGCAGCTCACGTCGATTGGGCTTCTGGCACCATCGGCGTCACAGCTCTCATTTCTGCATCTTACAAAGGCCACGCTGAGGTCGTGCGTTTGTTGCTCGCGGCCGGTGCTGACATCGACTTGGCCAACAGGAATGGCGTCTCAGCTCTGCTTTTGGCATCGCTAAACGGCCACATTGAGGTCGTGCGTTTGTTGCTTGAGGCAGGTGCTCGCATCGACTTGGCCAAAGACACCAACGGCATCACAGCTCTGATGGTGGCATCACAAAACGGCCATGTTGAGGTCGTGCGTTTGCTGCGTGAGTCCGGTGCTCACATCGATTCGGTCGACAACGACGGTGTCACAGCTCTCTCACTGGCATCTCAACTCGGCCACGTTGAGGTCGTGCGTTTGTTGCTTGAGGCCGGTGCTCAGGTCAACTTGGCCACCAACGCCGGTGGCACAGCGTTGACGCTGGCATGGCAAAATCGGCATATTCCGGTGGTACGTTTGTTGCTTGAGAGAGCTCGCATCGACTTGGCTGGCACAGCTCGTGGCTTGTTACAGCGGCCACATGGTCGTCGCGGATTCGCAGGTCTGGTCGCGGCCACGTTGAGGTCGTGCTCTTGTTGCCTTATGCCCGTGCTCACATGGTTTCGACCGACAACAACAGTGTCTCATCTCCGACGCTGGAGTGTCGAGTACAGCTCTGACAATGGCATCTGAACGAAGTCACGCTGAAGTGGAGCACGTGCTATTCCGAGAAGCTTGACTTTGATATCTGGTTGCTTCTATGCCACCAGCGCAGTATTCAAAAGCACGTGATTCGTAACCTTTGGCCGGCAGTGCTGGTCTGGGGATACATGACATTGTGCGTCCAAAGAACCAACCCCAAAACCCCAAAACCCCAAAACACCAAAACCCAAAACCCCAAAATTTTCCCTCCCCACCGCCCTCGCCTGAAAGCCCTGAAAGGCCCCTGCAGGCTCACGAAGACGCATCGCCCGAAGCACGATACTTGACACCCCTACTCCTATGCCATGCCCTAGGGCTCCAAGTATATAAATAATACCTACATTGGGGTCTAAAGTCTGTAAATCGTACCCTAAACCCTAAACCCTAAACCCTAAACCCGAAACCCTAAACCTTAAACCCTAAACCCTAAACCCTACTTTGGGCTATTTGGAGCCTTAGGGATGTCTACTTTTATGGCAGCGTGCAGGTGCGAACCGTGGCCCTTGCGCGGCTGCTGGCTGATGCAGGCGCGCCTCTGAGCAGGGTTTAGGGTTTAGGGTTTAGGGTATAGGGTTTAGGGTTTAGGGTTTTAGGGAAACACGGATGGACATGAGCAGCAGAAGCACCCCTTGAAGTTGAACAGATCCTGCATTCACAGTTGATGTTACGGAAAGGTTCAGTGATCTCGAGGGTGGGTTTACTGGTAGAAGGGCTTGCAGGAGCTTCACGACCACAAATGCAGTTCCGGGGTAACATGTCCGACAGCCCCAGAATAAACGTGAGATATGCGAACGACGGAACTCGTGTCTGGATAGCTATGCAGATTGTTTGGGTCTCCCCCTAATTCTACCCTTTTTCCACAATCAAACTTCTCTCAATGCCCAAGTCTGAACCCTTGTTAAGCCCCAAGCCTGGCGCACAATACACACGTTGAAGTCTCAACCAGCAGCGCCAGGTTGTACACTCCTGGCCGTACATGGCCGCACGCGGGCTCAGAAAAACGATGGGCCCGTGGACTATGCCGCCATTCGCGAGGCAGTGAGATGGCTGCAGGTCAGGTGTTTAGGTGGGTCAGGCTGCCTGACTCAGGCACTCCCTCAAACTCTGAAGTCACGGTTTATCCCAGAGAGGAAGAGAGCCACAGTGACATGCCTGAAGTTTGATATCAAGGTCAGGAGAAGATTTATGAGCTTGGGGTTTAGGGTTTAGGGTTTAGGGTTTAGGGTTTAGGGTTTAGGGTTTAGGTTTAGGGTTTAGGGTTTAGGGTTTAGGGTTTAGGGTTTAGGGTTTAGGGTTTAGGGTTTAGGGTTTAGGGTTTAGGGTTTAGGGTTTGGGGTTCCCTAAGCCCTAGGCAGACTCTCAGGGCTTGACATATATAAAAGGGCCTGCTATGGAGGCTTCTGCATGATGCTCCCGGTGTCCCTGACTCCCCTGCTCAGGGAGTGTCTCGAAAGAGGGGTACCCTTCTTCGGAGGGGGGGATCCAAAAATAAGGATTAGAGTATGTGCCTAAACCCTAAACCCTAAACCCTAAACCCTAAACCCTAAACCCTAAGCCCCCTTGTTTTAGCATGCCCAGTTGAATTCGGATTTGGCATCTGTGTCATCCCATGGTCCTCGTCTGGTCCTTGGACACATACGGAAACGTCACCGAAGCATGTTAGGGTTTAGGGTTTAGGGTTTAGGGTTTAGGGTTTAGGGTTTAGGGTTTAGGGTTTAGATGTTCAGGGTAAACCCAACAAGCAAGAGCGGCAACATGCAAAGTTGTTGGCTGCAACAGAGCTTGCACACGATGCTCTTCCCCATTCCCCTCCGTGCCGCAGGTTCAGGCAGCAGTGGACATTCCTGTGCAGCCTGGTTGCAGTTTTTGAACCATTGAGGCATCTTTGATCCCGTTCCGGTTTCGGGCCAGATCGAAACCCCCCAACCCCTAAAGTGGATTCTTGCTAGGGGTAGTAAGTTACCATGGACCGAAAGAACCTGATGTTTTTTGCTACATATATATATATACATATCTATTTATTATATATATATATTTATTTATTTATATGTGTATAGATATGCACAGCGCTCTGGAACACCTTAATTCTTAAACTTCTTTAGCAAGAAGCCTGTAAACCCTAAGCTATGCACCCGCGGGAACCCTAGGGCTCCAAGTATACAAATAGTACCTACATGGGGGTCTAAAGTTTAGGGTGTAGGGTGTAGGGTGTAGGGTTCAGGGTTTAGGGTTTAGGATGTAGGGTTTAGGGTTTAGGGTTTAGGGTGTCTGTAAATATTACCTACTTTGGGCTATTTGGAGCCTTAGGGTAAAGCTGGTATATAGGAAGCCCTTTAAGGCGCAAATTGGGTCTAAAGAATACCTACTTTGGGCTATTTGGAGCCTCAGGGGAAGCTTCAGATCCTTGAGCGGCGCTCCTGCACATGGGGTGCTGAGGCTGGTGAATGGAGGCATCGCCAGCCGCTCACACGCTGATTCCGCACGCCGCTCAGAAAGTGCAACTTTTGTTTTGGAATTAGGGTTTAGGGTTTAGGGTTTAGGGTTTAGGGTTTAGGGTTTAGGGTTTAGGGTTTAGGGTTTAGGGTTTAGGGTTAGGGTTTAGGGTTTAGGGTTTAGGCATGTGATGGTTCAGTTGATTGAAGTGTTAAAATCATAAGTGATCATAGGAATTCTGTGTTCAGGTGGCGAGTGAGGTAAGATCAGGCGTGGATGCTTCCGGAGCACCCACCAGACCCCACGCCTGAACCCGAGTGGCCTGCCACTTCTTTTAAGTTTTTGCCAGGGGTTTAGGGTTTAGGGTTTAGGGTTTAGGGCTTAGGGTTTAGGGTTTAGGGCTTAGGGGGGTTTGAGGGTTTCCGGGTTTAAGCCTCGATGGCTTAGAGGGTTCACGGCTGCAGGGGCTAGGGGTTTCATGGCATGTAGCAATTGTTTATCATTTTTGATAGGGGCTTAGAGTTCAAAGTCTATTTCGTACTCAGGTACTGCAGCAAACAGGATGCGCGGCAGCCATGCCACTCTGCTTCGAGCCGTTTCGGGTCGAGGGCGTCGGGTTTGAGAAGTTCGAGGTTGAACCTTAAATCCCATACCCAAAAACCAGAAAGCAAACAGCCGGGGATGGGCCGGGTCTCTAAGCATGGAGGGTCCCTGCGCAGGAGTTTTGAGGGTGCGCAGTGCGCAGTTGGCCGGGTGGTGGGAATAGTAGTACAAGAAGGACCTTCGTGTCATCAGCCATGTGTGTAATTCTGCTTCACCGTACGTGCTTGGAGCAAGTTTGTTGTGCACTTCTACCCGATCCACTTGAAGAGCGTACGCAAAAAAACACTGACAGTACTGGTCGATGTTGCTCAAGTAAGAACGAAACCGCTGCCCAACGCAGATCGGAGAATCTGGGTCGACCCGCGTCCCGCTCCCACCCTAAACCCTAAACCCTAAACCCTCAGGATTGCCACGGCATTTCTGGCGAACCCCAGCCTCTTGTGCAGCGACGCGGCCACAGGAGCCCAGCCGATTTTCTACCTTAAGAACCCAAAACCCACTTTGTTGCAGGCTCTTATTATAGGTAACCTACAAAAATGTAGGTTTTGGGGTCTTAAGGTCAGCCCTGGAACTCAGAATGCCCAAGAGAGGCCTCAAGCTATGGGTTTAGGGTTTAGGGTTTAGGGTTCAGGGTTTAGGGGTTAGCTTTAAGGGTTTAGGGTTTCGGGTTTAGGGTTTAGGGTGTAGGTTTAGGGTTTAGGGTTTAGGGTGCACGTTTCTAATTGGGAACAAGCCCCATGCAGAAGAAAGGGGTCCTCAGCTCGGAATTGACAAGTGAACTGCAGGGCGCTTTTAGGGTTTAGGGTTTAGGGTTTAGGGTTTAGAGGTTCGTTTGATGGTTCTACTCTTCTAGCAGCCCGCCGCCTGAATGGGTACGCTTGCTTTGTGCGCTTGGGTGCTTCGTCTGGCGGCTCACGTTGCAGACGTTGCCAGGAGGAAGCCCCGCCATCGCGTGCGAACAGGCGCACAGCCCCGTGGCAAGGATTGCCGAAGTGAGCTGAAGCTTGCAAGGCAGCCACCTCCAGAAGTAACGGGTTTAGGGTTTAGGGTTTAGGGCTTAGGGTTTAGGGTTTAATATCTATTGTGGTTCGGGGTGTCGTCACGTCATGGGCTTCTTTAGGAAGCCTCGCTGTTGTGGGCGCAGGGTTCTTGGGCTCCGATATGGTCCCCTGCTCAGACCCGGAACGATGTCCAGAAAGATGATTGCGTTTAGAGTTTAGGGTTTAAAGTTTAGGGTTTAGAGTTTAGGGTTTAGGGTTTATTTTCATAACGCAAGCTGCCGGAAGCTGGTGTCCAAAGTCCTCCATACTCTTCCCTCAGGCTCCACATAGCCCAAAGTAGGTATCTAGACCCCAATGTAGGCAGTATTTATGTGCGTAGAGCATCTTGGAGAGCAACCCTAAACCCTAAACCCTAAACCCTAAACCCTTAACCCTAAACCCTAAACCCGCCCAGCCCCGGAGCCCTTCGAAGTTTTCTGGCGCGGAACGTCCCCAGCGAGGCTACGTGGACTTGTGCCATGAGCTGGAGGGTCCGGGGCTCGGGCTCTTGCCGACATGCAGCCGTGCAAGCTGTTGTGGAACCCTAAACCCTAAACCCTAAACCCTAAACCCTAAACCCTAAACCCCCTGAGGACCTGATCAGCCATGGGCACAGCTCCCACTACATCTAGGCCACCTGCTGAAGCGCCATCTTCGTGAGAAGGTGCGCACCCGGGGGATCTGGGAGCCAGAGGGTTTGTTGCTCCAGTATATATTTTAGGGTTTAGGGTTTAGGGTTTAGGGTTTAGGGTTTAGGGTTTAGGGTTTAGGGACCCTGGGCTTGTTGTTCCAGTCCCTTAAGAACCCCAAAACCCACTTTCTTTGTAGGTTCTCATTGTAAAACCCCTTGTAGGATTCTTAGGGAACCTACAAAAATGTAGGTTCTTATTATAAAGACCCTTATAGGATTCTTAGGTAGCCTACAAAAATGTAGGTTTGGGGGGTCTAAAGGTACATATAGTCCCTGAGCGGCGAGGGCCAGTGGAAACAATTGTCCAGGAAGCCTATGACACTATGGCAAGCATGCTATATGTTCGAGCGCCAGGCATGAAGCGAGTGGTGTTGCGCAGAACTGTGGTGTACAAGGGTACGTTAGAAATTGTGTTGAAAGCCGTGTCCACACCAGAGCGCTACGTCTAAGAGTACTCACATCTAGCGTGGCAAGGGGCTCGGTTCCATATCCGCCCCAAAAGGAGTGATTTTGCGACAGGAGGCGACGAGCACCACAAAGCGCACAGGGCGCTACGAGCCCTTCGATGGCACTCATCTGGCGGTTTTGGTGTCCTGTGAGGTGTTCATGTTTAGGTGTCCCTTGGGGTTTCTGGAGGTTAAGGTTAGCGGGGTTTAGAGGCTAAGGGCTTAGGGTGGCGTGTTGTCTAAGTTTGAAGGAGGCACTACCCCTTTCCCAAACAAAACGTTTAAAGAAACACTGCAAAGATAAACCTTATCCCAGAAGAAGTACAAACGCATATGTAGTAATACATATCTGTACATATCAGTATGAAGATCAACAGATAGGTTACTGGCTTTGGGTTTAGGCTTGAGGGTCCGAGTAGGGATTGAGGGACCTAGGACCATGGAGCACAGCACAGTGATCTATGAATCCGAAACCCTAAGCCCTAAACCCTCAACAAACAAACCCCAAACTACCCTATACGAATCAGAGCGAAACCCTCTGCAAACCCCGACTGCTCGGAAGCCAAAGGAGAACCCCAAACCCGTAAAGCTCCTGAGTCCCCCAAACCCCGGAAAAAATCCCTTAAAACCCCACAGCCTCCAAGCCCTAAACCCTTAACCCTTAGCCCCTTAAACCAAAACCCTAAACCCTAAACCCTAAGCCCTAAATCCTAAACCCCAAACCCTAAACCCTAAACCCTAAACCCTAAACCCTAAACCCTAAACCCTAAACCCTAAACCCTAAACCCTAAACCCTAAACCAAACCTCCAAACCCCAAAGCCCCCCAAAGACCCAAAAGTTGTCTCGCGCTCCCTCGTGAACCTCTTACCCCCCTCTTACGCCCCTGTTACCCCCCTCTTACCCCCCCCCCCCCGCCCAAACCCTAAACCCTAACCCCTAACCCCTAACCCCTAACCCCTAAACCCTAAACCCTAAACCCTAAACCCTAAACCCTAAACCCTAAACCCTAAACCCTAAACGGCTGATGGTTCTTTTTCCGCATTATTTCTGGTTGTTTTTTCGTGTTTTTGATGGTTTCAGGTGAACCCTAAACCCTAAACCCTAAACCCTAACCCTAAACCCTAGACCCTAAACCCTAAACCCTAAGCCCTAAACCCTAGACCCTAAACCCTAAACCCTAAACCCTAATCCCTAAACCCTAAACCCTAAACCCTAAACCCTAAGCCCTAAACCCTAAGCCCTAAACCCTAAACCCTAAACCCAAGACCATGAAAAATACGAAAAAAACACAGAAAAAACACAAAAAAAAACCTGGACCCACCCTAAACCCTAGACCCTAAACCCTGGACCCTGGACCCTACCTCCAAACCTCCAAACCCCAAAGCCCCCAAAGACCTCAAAGTTCTTGCGCCCCCGAAGCTGGAGGTTCCTGAAGCGGCTCTCCAAGGCCCGGGCTACTTGGGGATGATGGGATATAGGGCTGAGGTGCTGGGGTTTAGGGTTTAGGGTTTAGGGTTTAGGGTTTAGGGCTTAGGGTTTAGGGTTTAGGGTTTAGGGTTTAGGGTTTAGGGGGGTTAGGGTGGTTAGGGTGGTTAGGGTGGTTAGGGTGGTTAGGGTGGTTAGGGTGGTTAGGGTGGTTAGGGTGGTTAGGGTGGTTTAGGGTTTAGGGTTCGAAAACTCTGGGTGTTGGGGGAGCTTAGGGCTTATGGGGTCATTGAACACTTCCAGCACCCTCAGTAGCCTCAGGGCACAGATAGATAGCAGACCCGCCCGGCTCCCCGCTGGCACCGCGTGTTCAGGGCGACCCTCCCGATGGCTTTTCACCTTGTGGCCTTGAAGAAGCTGCGCTGCTGCTGCGGAACTTTGCGCCTCGGGCGGTGTCTTAGATGGGTCTGAAAGGCCGTTGCCTTTACATGTGCTTAGCCCCGAAGGCTTCACCTTCTCAAGTATCGGCTGCCAGCTGCTCGGGAGCCCAATGCCCCAAGGTACTTCGAACTCAAGAGCCTCTTAGAGTCACAGAGATTGAACTTGTATTCTCAACCCGAGTCCGAGTCGTCTTCTCTAGGTGGAACTGAGAACAGGAGGCTCTGAACTTCATCTCGGCAACGGTTTGCTGCGTTTATGAAGCCATGATCAAACCCTCCGAGACTGTTCTTGGGAAGTATGCTTTCGTAGGAACTAACGTAGGGACTCAGCGTCGATCGCCGGCTCCATCCGACTCTGTTCTTCGCTTAGGAGATCTTCCTTGGCTTGCGCCAAGGCAAAGAAAGGCCACTGGCTCTGCAAACAGCGAGCTCTGTAAGCAGCGTTTGTTCACTCAAGTTGCCAAGGGAAAGTACGCGTGTGATCTCGCAGCAAGCCATGCACTTGACTCCGCACATGCCCTGAGGTCGTTTAAACAGATCTGGCGAGAGGCAGCTAAGCTGCGCACGGCATCAACCAAGGAAAAACAGCGAGCCTGCGCGTGTGCCCGTTTCTCGTGTTTCCCAGCTGCAGACTTGCAGCTCCGGTGTCTGGTTCACACTACCAGATGTCAAGGTTACGAGATGGTTCAGCCACACTGTCATACCCTTCTTGTAAGGCTAGAGCATCCATCCGACTGTAAGTCCCCTCAGACTCGAAGCGGCTGCTATGGCTTCTTCTTTAGTCTTTGTTTCGCGCCAACTCTTAAGCCTACTGTGATCTGGAGGTGGCTTTGGAGGGGGCTCGCTTGGCCATCCGAGCTCGGGATGTGGGAGAAATGCCGGGGCCCAGGCAGCTGCTGTGTCCGGCACTGGAGATTCGTTGTGGGCGAACCCTGAGGAAGGTACCTAGAAGCCCTGAAATAAGACAACATAGGCCCTACTACCCGAAAAGCTCTACTACTCCTATACACCCCCTAAACCCTACTACTCCTACCACCCTATAAGCCCTACTACGCCTACCCCTTATAAGCCCTACTCCTACCACCCTATGCCCTACTTGGAGGTCCATGGTACTTCTTCACCAATGATAACTGTACTTATAACCTACTTATAACTCCCTTAAGTGCCCTAATATGGTTGTAAGTACAGTTACCCTAAACCCTAAACCCTAAACCCCAAACCCTAAACCCTAAACCCTAAACCCTAAACCCTAAACCCTAAACCCTAAACCCTTACTCCTACCTCCCTAGTCCCCAAGGCACCGGAGCCTCGCTGCGCTCCTGGGGCCCACGGCGCCCTGCGCCGCGCGCGCGGGGGAGCCCACAGGGCTCAGGGGTTTGCGGTTGAGGGTTTAGGGTTTAGGGTTTAGGGGTTTAGGGTTTAGGGTTTAGGGTTTGTGGTTGAGGGTTTAGGGTTTAGGGCTAGGGTTTAGGGTTTGGGGTTCAGACGGGGGGGGGGATTTAGGTGTGTGGTGTGCATGTTCTTGTGAGGGTTGAAAGGTTTTGTATAGCAATAGGGTTTAACCCGCACATCGGGTAGGGAAACAGCAGCTTTTCCCGGCGCCTCGGACCGGAGGTGATGATGATGTTGCCCAATGTGGGGGGCTTAGGAAAATAGGGGTACATGACTGGAGTCCCTTTTTTCAGGGAATCTTACTATTTAAACCCTAAACCCTAAACCCTAAACCCTTAAGCCCCCAGTTTCGGGGGTGTTTCTCTTTGAATCGCTGGTGCCATTCCATTCCGGGGGGGGGCTTCTATGTCAGGTCAACATTGTAGAGGTTCTTAGGGGCCAGAGGGGATCTTACATGGGGGTTTGTGGGTTCTAGGGGGGTGTGGGCAGTTTTGGGGTTGAGGGTTTTTGGGGGGTAGGGCTTAGGTAGATCGCCTGCCTCAGTTGGCCCACATCTTGCTGGCAGGTTCGGGCATGGCCCGCGCAGAGGAAGGACGAAGTTGCGGGCTTCCGCGTGCCTGGCGGGCTTCTGACGCTCCCTTTTTGCCAGCGCCTTGATGTTCAGGAAACATGGCGATAGATATTGCGCGGTTCAGCGACATCTTCCATCGCAACTGCACGTTTTCGGGAGTGCTTCAGAAATAGGCCGCTTTCACCGTCTCTAATTCGGGTTGGTTTCCGAACCTAGCTTGTCGAATCCACGCACGCAGTCTCCTGTCTAACACATGACAATGGGTCAGTGCCTTGCACATGGTCACCATCATGGGGTGTGTGACCTTCGCCCTGAAACCTAAAACCCTACTAACCAGGCCCCCAACCCCGAGTACAGTAAGCCCTAACCCCTTATCCCAAGCCCTTAAACCCCTGTGTCAGTAACCCCTCGATTTTCGCCAGGGCTCCTGTACCTGGCGCACGGTGGCCTGCTTGGCGAGCCCGGGCGGCTCACAGCTGAGCTCGCAGAGTTTTTCCAGGCACGGGCGGTGGTCGGGTTCGATCGCGTTGGTCGTCAAAGAATAGGAGCCTTGGCCACGATGGATGTGAAGCGGAGCTCCGGCCTGCTCCTTCACTCAGCCTTACAAGATGCTGCTTTCCCAAGCTAGACATGGGTTTTTTTTGCAGGACGCAGCGGTTCCTTGGAGGAACAGCGCCAAGAGAATCGCTCAGGCTTGAAGGAAGTTGAGAGGATCTTAAAACTCTCGGATTTAGGGTTTCAGGGGTTCAGGAGGTCTAAACCCCACAGCCTAAGACCCCAAAGCCGTTACCCTCATTCCTACATAATCCGCAAAATGCCCCTCAGCCTGCTCTAACCCCGAAGCTATATCCCCCTTGGGAATTTTTTCTTATGTTTGTTCATATAAAACCCAAGAGGATATGAAACAAATTATTTTTTTAGGTGCTAAGGGGAGTATAGGAAGCTGTTGAACTCTGGGAGGAACACCTGAGCCGGCGGAAGGGGCAGTTGCGTCCGGGCCTTGGCTGATTATTCTGATGATGAAGAGGATGATGATTCTGATGCCGAGGAGGAGGAGGAGGAAAAAGAGGAGGAGGAGGAGGAGGAGGAGGAGGAGGAGGAGAATTACAATTGTTAGTCTAGAGTGTGCGTATCAGCATGCGTTTTTGTATTCTCATAAGTAAACAGTACATTCGTATGAAACTTGGCATTAGAGTGAGTATCAGCTTATACTAACAGTCCTTAATAGGGATTATAGCACCCCCTATTATACTCCCTATTCAGGACTGTTAGTATAAGGGCGAACATCCCAACCTACACCCTGAAACCGGCCAGGCAATTCTTGCCCAGCAACGTCCAGGGAGGGAGAATCACTCAAGGAGGTTTGGCGTTTTTTTTCCTCAACCCTAAACCCTAACCGTCTTGTGGTAACAAGGGTTTGCGTTCATAGGGGTTTTTAGGGTGGGCTCCACTGTTATAGCACTGTTATAGCACTGTTATAGCAGTTGATGAGCAGCTTTCCTGTACTCTCGAACCCTAACATTCCAAGACTTTCGGTGGCATCCTCCTAAACCTATAGGGTTCTCAAGGAGGGGGGTTCATAGGGGGGTAGGTACCTAGGGAAGCTTAGGGAGCCTTAGGGAGTATTAGGGAACCTTGGGTTGCATACCCCCATAACAAACGCCCTAGACCCTGGGTTTTCCAAGGGCCCTGTCTTCGCTACGCTTTGCAGCTCCACCGCGCCAGAACGTCTGGAAATTGGTGCAGGCCGGGTACTTCCTTTGAACCAAGGCTAAGGGCGTGATTGAAGTTGGGATCGGGGGGTTTTAAAGGTTTAGGGTTGAGGGACGTTGTGGGGCTTGTCGGTTTTATAGATGTTAGGGTTTGCAGGGTTTGGGGTTTTGGAATGAAAGTGTTCGGGTTCCAATGGAAATCCGAACTTTCACATGACTCTTTTGGCAATTGCAGTTCTGCAGCCCCAGTTTAGCTCGCGACAGTGTATTGTTTCGGGTCACCTTTTCGTAGTTTTTAAAATGTATATCAGACTAATTAATAACCCTAAACCCTAAACCTGAAATCGATGCCATCTGAAAATTTGAGCCTGCAACTGGGGAGACCTGCTTGGCGAGGCATTTGGCCCTAGCCGCCGAAGGACGTCCCGGGCCCTCCAAGCATCACGCCTGGTAAGGGCTCAAAGGTTGAGAGGAGTTTAGGGTGTAGGGTTTAGGGTTTAGGGTTTAGGGGGCTTTGGGTAGGTTCGGGTAGATACTCGTCACATGGTGTAGAGTGGCGGATTGAGGCAGACTACCCTGTCAGGGTATTTGAGCATGCGGGGAGAGCCTTAGCTCAGTTCTGTCATGCAAACACCAGCCCCGAACCCCAAGCCCTGATTAGACCTTGTCATCCCTCCTGCCAACGCAAACCCTGTTATAGCCATCCCTTCCGAAAACCAGGACCACCAGAAGGCAAAGGATTTGGTGAATCGGCGCGTGACGACTGTGGCAGGCCAAGTTGGAACAGATGTGAGGGAAGTACTATAGGGGCGGAATAAATTACTAATAGTATTCCCTTGTGGCCCCTTTATGACCCCTAAAAACCCTATTCTAATTATTAAGCTACCCATATTCGGTGTTGCTACCCAGTTGCTTCCGGCCAGGCTTGCGTGGACCGTGGCAGCGCCAGCCGGGGCCCAAGAGGAAAGCATCCGCAAAATGGGCTTTGGATGGCATCAGTGGGCAAAGCCCCAGAAAGCAAGTTGCAGTGCCTAACCAACATGATAAACCCCATGTAACAAAACCCTAAACCCTAAACCCTAAACTATGAGGCTTCACCCCAAGCCAGGTACGCCTGCGCAGCTTGGAGACGCTCGCGAAAGCATTTCCCCAAGGGGTGGCGCACCCGGGCCGTTGCGTCACGTCGCAGGCATGGCATAGCTTGAGGATAAACCCTACACCCTAAACCCTAAACCCTAAACCCTCAGCAACCCCTCCTCCAAAATACAGCACCCACGCACCTCCCCCCCAAACGCGCCGCGCGACACCGAGGTGGCTGCAGAACGTGCAGCGCGCATGCTAGGACT